GTGCGGCACACACACCTAAAGTCTAATAGCGACGCTCCGGTGCTTTCTACTTGTAGTATTATGCTACAAGTAGAATTGATCTGAATCGTCGGTTCACAAGGGCATATTAGTACATTACTACTTAGTGATTAGGGGTAATGGTGGTATTTGGGATTTTATCTATTCATCTCGCTAGGCACTCGATCGGCGACTGGACGACGCATCCATTCGCTGCGGCAAATCCTCCCACCACCGTCGATCTCCTCTTGATGACAGCCATCTCCACTGCTCGGCAAATCCTCGCACCGCCGGCAGTCTACTCCGGCGGCCATTCTTTCCCCACTCATTCTCCTCCATTTGTCGCCCCATTTTGCCGCGTGTAGGGGCACCATCCGATACATTCCGGTGGCGGCGGCGCCGACGGCCGTCTCGCCAGTACTTCTTTGTTCGCCGGTGCTTGCCTGTTTTAGATGTTTTTGCAGCTTCTAGTCAGAGCCTTGCCTGTAATCCTTTTCTATCTGTATTCATTCAGTGCATCCTAGACTGTACAACTTATATGAACTAGTTCTAATACTGCAAAAATATTGTTCGAGGCAACAGGTGTGCCCATGTCCAATTTTTTTTTCTGGTTGTTAAATCAATATGCTGGTCCAAATCAGATTTTATGAGGTCATGAATTGGTGGGGCCTTTTTGAAGTCTGAAGTATGAACTCGAGCAGTAGCAGTAGCAATAGTATGCATAGGCTGTGTTTAGTTCACACCAAAATTAAAAGTTTGGTTGAAATTGGAACGATGTGACGAAAAAGTTAGAAGTTTGTGTGTGTAGGAAAGTTTTGATGTGATGAAAAAGTTGAAAGTTTGAAGAAAAATTTTGTAACTAAACACGGCCTTAATGTGACTTGAAGCAATAAGAAAATGATTCTGTTTGACATTTTTATCTGCTGAACGAACAAGGAGAAAGGTTTTCTTTTAGTGTTCACCATATACGGAACAAATTCAATCCTACTTAGCACATATACTTCATGTATATTGGTCACTTCGCCGTGCTGCCACTGGCACGTGTACATGGAGATGCAATCGAAAGGTGTAGCGAGAGGGCGACACTAGGCAGGCATGCAGGCGATCTAAGACGGCGAGCACGCATCCAATCACATGTAGCGCCGGCATGAGGAGCTCCATGAAGCCCGAGGCTGGGCATCGTGCTGGACCAGCTAGCCCCATGCGGCAGTCCACGCCGGCGAGGTGCGCTGCGAAGTCATGCGAGTTGACGGCGTTGACGAGCGCCAGCGCCACAGCTGCCGTGAGCACCACGGCCAGGAGCATCGTCACGAACACGTGAGGCCCGGCGTTGGTGTACTTCTATCGGGTGGCGGAGGCGGCGGCAGGGAGGAGATACTCGGCGTCGTCTCCGGATGCGATTTGGGGGAGTCACGCGATTCTCTTTGGCCGACGTGAGGAAAGATTGAGAGAGTATGGCTAGGGCCAGTGATTGTATATAGATGATGATTATACCCCTCCACTAATATTTGTTCTTGGACAATAATACCCATCCACGATTCTACTACCATTAAGTGAGGTGGTAGTAGAAATTGATCTAAACCCTTTGATCAAATGAGATTAGTGGTTCAGATTACTTTCTACTACAAGTAGAAAGTACCGGAGTAGGACTCAAAGTCTAAAGCACTATCTTCCACCGAGCGTTTATCTCATTCACCTATTGGCCGTTGTACAAACTACAGAGTGACCAATATTTTGCTTGTTGAATTGTGATCCAAAATCATTTCTTCTGCCGTAGTGGAGCGGAGGCCCGTCGCTGGGAGGCTTGGGCCGGAGCGTGCGGCGATGTAAGCCGCCAGATATAGTGAAGATATTTTGCTGGCTGGCGTCCGTGGTTTTTTCTCTCCTGTTTTGGGAGGGTTTTCCACGTTAAATCTCGTGTCTTTTGTGATTGATCTATTATTTTTTATCGTTTGTTTGCCTATCGTTTTCTAACATTGCTCTCTTGATAGAGGATGAAAATCGACTGCAAAGTTCTAAAACCAGGACAGTAAAGCGCCATTTCCTAGAACGAGGGAAACAGCATTCAGTCAGCAGTATATGATTTATTGATTTGTTATTTATATTGAGCTATTTCATGCCCTTTTTGAAAAGTACAGCTTTCTTTTGTATATTCTTTTTTTACGCGATCTTTTGTATATTCTTCACAGTGATTGCTGTATGTGTTATATTTTTGTTCATGAAAACCAGGGAAAGAGGAACTATTTACCTTATGCCCAAAGATGTAAAGAACAGCAGAAATACAATATGCTACACTTTTCTTGTTCCTTAACTGAATATTATGGGTGCTCTTATGGGCCATTATACCAAACTAGTTGAAATCAACAGGGTTGATGAAATATTTTATGAATATGGTCATAATAAGATACCTAATTTCCTTTTTCTTTAACGGACAATATAATTATTTACTGTTCTGCTCTTATACGCAGGATTCTTGTTTGGTGCTGACAGGCCCTGTTCGTGCAGTTCAGCTTCGTCAATGTGCTGAAGGCCGTGTTTAGTTCCAAAATAATTCTTCAAACTTTCAACTTTTCCATCACATCAAAACTTTCTTACACACACAAACTTCTAACTTTTCCATCACATCGTTTTAATTTTAACCAAATTTTTAATTTTGGTGTGAACTAAACACAGCCGAAGTCGAATTTCAACTCAAAGTCAAAGGCGAAACACCATCAGAGGACAGAATTCTAAGCATCGATTTTTGGGCATACGATCCTATTCGTGCCTTCTTGCATACAAAGGATGTCTCTAAGACATGGACATTCGATAAAAGCAGTGGAGGCAACCATAGAAATCAAGATCACCGAAGGCTCAAGCGATTTCGGTGCACGGTTTGCTGCACGCATGGGCGGTATCGCTGATGAAGTGGTGCTGATCGACTACGGTGACCGGCCGGTGCCCGTCGATGGCGACGGCGTCGTTCAGATCTCACGGCGGGTGGTTGTCGTCGACAAAGATGGAGTGCTCAAGCTCAATGCAAGAGCTTGGAGAGGCAACTCAGATGGGGTTGATGTTGCTGGAGAAGATGATGCCGAGTTCACCGCTCAGAGTGCTAGAACATCAGGTGCTATACTTGATGTTGGCTTTGCGAAGTTGTCAGTTACAGCATTTTGGTCACTGATCCCGTTTGTGTAGTTCTCCATTGTGAGTGTGTGGACCATCTGCTGGAGAGACTTCCCAAGCAGGCTATTAGAGTATATGGATAGGATCATATTGTATCCGATTTGTTATGGTAGGATAGGATTAGTATCCATCTCTATTTCTGAGTTTACTTAAGAATCCATGTAATCCATGTATATTGGCCCCTTGAAGCTCAATACAATGTATCCACGTTACGCTGTATTTCTCTCTCCCTGTACTATTCAACATGGTATCAGAGCAGACGACCTAAGGCCTCCGCTCACCGCTTCCGCTTCCGTTGCCCCCGGGAGGAGCGATCTCGCTCCTGGGGACGGTCACCTGTTTCGCTTTTTTTTTCGCTTGTCGAGTCTTCACCGCGTGCCTCCCCGAAGGAGTCAATCTCCGGGCTGCGGCACGGCCTGTTCGTCGTCGTCTTCGCGTCATCAGGCATGCAACAGTAGCATAAACCTTTCAATTTATTTTTACCGAAACCCTATTTTATTAGCACATTTATTTCCTATTAAATTCCCATTACCCAAATTCATCTAGATCCAATCGACCTCCGCATAAATTTCAAATTCCTGTATCCTTGAAACTAGCCAACCAAGTTTTTGGCCGACTCTTAGTAAATCCATCTATTCAAATCTTTTGTTTTACTTTTGAATAAGCTCCAAATTCCCCATATAAAAAATTTCTCGATATACCATTCATTCCTTTAGCCATCCTTTGCTCTTGTTTCTTTCTTCCAAACTCACCATTGGTTAAGTCCCATTCTCAAAAATATTCTAAAGACAAACATCTATATACTATTGTTCAAGTTCCTCCTCAATTTTATAAACATCCCGATTTATTATTTTTTATTAGCTAAAACCTACTCTTTTAGCCATTTGTCTTTTTCATTTTATCTAAATTCCATAATTTTTGCCTCCAATGATATTCTAAAGTTTTCCTGCCAAAGACTCTCCTCCAAATTCAAATATCTATTCCTTTATTCAAATACTCCTCCTTTAAACCAATACCCCCAAAATAAAAGCCCCTCTAAACTTCCATTGCCAAAAATAAACCAACCCCTCCCCCCACATGTATAGAGTCCATGAACTACCTGTTAAAATTTATCTCCAAACAAATTCTTTTGAATTTCTTTTAGATTCCATTAAAATCATCCCTCCAAAAATTCAGAAAACTCTTCTATTTCTTTTGGGCCGAAATCCTCCAACCAGTCATGTCACTCCTGGGCTGACATCACCTTGCTTTCTGGGCCCTTCCGACCTTCTCTCCCGCACATGGCCCAACCCAGCCGAGCCAGCCGCCTCCTTCCTTCCGGAGGGCGCGCATGGCACGCGTGCGCGCCGCCGCCGCCGCCGCCGCTGCCCCGACGGAGCGATCTCCTCCCCTAGAGCTTATCTCGCCGTCTCATCTCGCCACCAGCATCTCCTCACTCCGGCGAGTCCATTTTCCCTATTTCCCCCCTTCTCTCACACCTCACATCAGTTTGGTTTTTCCGACTGGACTGAGTTCTCGCCGCCGGCGTTCCCAACTCTTCCCTCGCTCCCCACGCCGGCTGCCGCCTTCCTCCATTGTGCTGTGTCCAAGAACGCGTCGAGGCACCGCTGCCGCCGCCGTTGTGCCACCGGACACCGACGTCGTGCGCCCGCTCTTCCCCTGCCTGCCTGCTAGGCGCCTAGGCGTGAACCGAAGAAGAACATGAACGAACGCAGTCGGGGCGTGTGGACGTCGCGTGCGAACTTGGACGACGGCCCAAAATCGCGAAGTAGTTAAGATTAAGATAAGATTAATATTACTATAAGTAAATAATAACACTTAGTTCTTTCCCCCGAAAAGAAAATGTGGTTCATCAACTGAATCCGAGTCAAATTAGATAAAGTGGATCCCTGAATCCGAGTCGAATTATTGGGTGCTATTTTCTGATTATGTAATCATCTGATCACACAGATTGAAGCCGGCAATCGGCACAAACAAACGAGAGATCCATATGGAGAACCACCCATTCCCAAAACGACGCCGTCTGATGGCGCCGCCGCCGCGGTCAGCTTCCGCCGCCGCCGCCGCCGGCGGTGGCTTTATCCCTGATGATATACTTTTCTCCGAAATCCTCGTCCGACTTCCCGCGAAGTGCCTTGTGCGATTCCAATCCGTGTGCAAGCTGTGGCGCGCCACCATAATCAGCACCAGCTTCGCGCGCCGCCACCTGGAGCATTCCAGGCCCAGGCCATCCATGGTCGTCATGCCACGGATGTTTCTGAGTAACCCCAAGAAGTTTAAACTTCAGGGTGTCACTTTCTACAGGTTCCAGCCAGGGCAGAGCAAGGTTGCCGAGCTCATCCTAGAGAAGAGATTTCCCCGTGGGATCCCAATGTTCAGCATGCCTCTGCACTGCGACGGCCTCATCCTGATCCCTTGCGTCTCGGGAGAGATCTTCGTGTGCAACCTGACGACCAGCGAGTTCGTTGAGCTGCCGAGAGGAAGCCACAGTGTTGCACTGGAGCACAGGGTCGCCTTCGGGTTCGACCCTTGGAGTGGCAAGTACAAGGTGGCTAGGCACTTCCTCCGCTCATCACACAGCGGAGGAGAATCCCGGGCTGGACATGAGATCTTGACTCTTGGTGATGGAGAAGATTGTTGGAAATGGAAGGCGACCATAGATCCGCCATATCCTATCAATGCTAGGACTCCGATCTGTCTCCCAGGGTTCTTCTACTGGAGCGCTCTCCACTCCACGACCGGCCATGGCCTTAGCAAGGTGAGCTCACATGTTATCCTTCGATTTAGCTTGCGCGATGAAACATTCACTGTCCATCCCAACCCTCCATGCAGGGGCTTTCTGAGCAACAACGACATGCTATGCCAGCTTGGTGGCAAGTTGTGCTATGTCCACTCCGCCTCGCCATGTGAGTTAGCCATTTGGTTGGCAGCAGATGGACCAAGCCTTGCTTGGTCGCTGCGCTGCCGCATCCGCTTGCCGATTCCTAAACAGCTTGTTAAATATGTGATCCGAATTTTGGGTCCACAATATATTCGGATTAGTTTCCTAGTAGAAATTCCTATTAAGTGTCTTTCTATTTCCCCTATATATACTCTTGTAAGCCATACGGAAAGGTGTGACGTTCCCATTATGATTCCCCTACGTTTGTAATCATCTCCTCCATAGGGATCATTGCCGGTCGGCGCCCGTGGTTTTTTCCCGCAAGGGTTTTCCACGTAAAATTCGTGTCTCCGTTGTGCATCTATTTTCATAACAAGTAGTATCAGAACATTGAAGATCTACTGCAGTCCCGACCACCGGCGTGATTTTTCGGATCGAAGAAATCGATCTAATCGGCAGTACGCGTCGTCGTGTTCGTCATTCCGTCCAAATTCTGTTCGGCGAAATCCAATCCAAAGCATAGTCGCCGTCAACTCCGAGTCGACGCCGTCCTTCCTGCCGCGCGTGTCAGAAAAGCAGCAGTACAGCAGTGCGGGAGAAGAAAATCAGCCGAAGCCAATCCATCTGCAGCGCACGGTTCCCGAGGCGAAAAACCAATCCACCGAGAGCTTCTGTTAGGTTGTTTTTTCAGAGGCAAAATTGCTACGCGCACCAAAGCTTGTACCAGGAAGTTTACTGATCTACGCTACAGACACACGAGAAGTGTACCAGGTTTCGCGTTTTTGCTAGGATTACCCTAATTTCTTACTAGCAAATTCAGGATTAATTCCCATGGCGAGTTTGAAGTATAATCTACCTCTCCTGGACCAAGACACAAGATTCTTACTTTAGCAAGTGAAGATGCGAGCCGTTCTTGCACAACAAGACCTCAATGATGCGCTTTCTAGATTTGATAAGAGGACACAGGATTGGTCTGTTGATGAGAAGAAAAGGGATCGTAAGGCTATGTCATATATTCATCTTCATCTATCTAACAATATTTTGCATGAGGTGCTTAAGGAGGAGACAGCCGCTGGGCTGTGGTTGAAGCTGGAACAGATATGCATGACTAAGGATCTTACCAGTAAGATGCACCTGAAGCAAAAGTTATTTTTGCACAAGTTGTAAGATGATGAGTCCGTGATGGACCATCTCTCCGCTTTCAAGGAAATTGTTGCTGACCTTGAGTCTATGGAGGTAAAGTATGATGAAGAGGATTTAGGCCTTATTCTATTGTGTTCATTGCCTAGCTCATATGCAAACTTCAGGGATACTATACTTTATAGCCGTGATACTCTAACTTTGAAAGAAGTTTATGATGCTTTGCATGCCAAAGAAAAGATGAAGAAGATGGTACCCTCTGAAGGTTCAAATTCACAAGCAGAAGGCTTGGTTGTTCGAGGCAGGCAACAGGAGAAGAACACAAACAACAAATCAAGAGATAAAAGCTCAAGTAGCTACCGTGGGAGATCAAAGTCCAGAGGCAGGTATAAGTCATGCAAATACTGTAAGAGAGATGGACATGATATCTCTGAGTGTTGGAAGCTACAGGATAAAGACAAGAGAACCGGAAAATACATACCAAAAGGTAAGAAAGAAGAGGAAGGTAAAGCCGCAGTTGTTACTGATGAGAAGTCTGATGCAGAATTGCTTGTTGCTTATGTTGGTTGTGCACAAACTAGTGACCAGTGGATACTTGATACTGCATACACCTATCACATGTGCCCGAATAGGGATTGGTTTGCCACTTATGAAGTTGTTCAAGGTGGTACTGTTTTGATGGGTGATGATACACCATGCGAGGTTGCAGGTATTGGAACAGTTCAGAACGAGATGTTTGATGGCTGTATTAGAACATTGTCAGATGTGCGGCATATTCCAAATTTGAAGAGAAGTCTCATCTCTTTATGTACTCTTGATCGCAAAGGGTACAAATATTCCGATGGAGACGGAATTTTGAAGGTAACTAAAGGCTCTCTTGTTGTGATGAAAGCTGATATTAAATCTGCCAATCTATACCATCTGCGAGGTACAACTATATTAGGTAATGTTGCAGTAGTTTCTGATTCATTATCTAATTCCGATGCTACTAATCTTTGGCATATGCGTCTTGGGCATATGAGTGAAATTGGTTTGGCAGAATTGAGCAAGCGAGGATTGCTAGATGGACAAAGCATCGGGAAGCTCAAATTTTGTGAGCATTGCATCTTTGGCAAGCATAAGAGGGTGAAGTTCAACACATCTACACATACTACTGAAGGTATTCTTGATTATGTGCATTCTGATTTATGGGGGCCTGCTCGTAAGACATCTTTTGGAGGTGCTCGTTACATGATGACTATCGTTGATGATTATTCGCGAAAAGTTTGGCCTTATTTCTTGAAGCACAAATATCAAGCTTTTGATGTGTTTAAAGAGTGGAAAACTATGGTTGAAAGACAAACTGAAAGGAAGGTGAAAATCCTTCGTACTGACAATGGGATGGAGTTCTGTTCTAAGATATTTAAATCATATTGCAAGTCTGAAGGCATTGTGCGTCACTACACCGTTCCTCACACACCTCAACAAAATGGCGTAGCTGAGCGTATGAACAGGACAATTATATCAAAGGCCCGTTGTATGTTGTCTAATGCAGGTTTGCCTAAACAGTTTTGGGCGGAAGCTGTTTCCACTGCTTGTTATCTTATCAATCAATCACCTAGTTATGCCATTGATAAGAAGACTCCAATTGAGGTATGGTCTGGTTCCCCAGCAAATTATTCAGACTTAAGAGTATTTGGTTGTACTGCTTATGCTCATGTTGATAATGGTAAATTGGAGCCTAGAGCTATTAAGTGCATTTTTCTTGGTTATCCGTCTGGTGTGAAAGGCTATAAGTTATGGTGTCCTGAAACCAAAAAGGTTGTGATTAGTAGAAATATTGTCTTCCATGAATCAGTTATGTTACATGACAAACCTTCTACTAATGTTCCTGTTGAGAGTCAGGAGAAAGCAAGTGTGCAGGTGGAGCACTTGATCAGTTCAGGGCATGCACCAGAAAAAGAAGATGTTGCTATTAACCAAGATGCACCTGTTATTGAAGATTCAGATTCTTCTATTGTTCAGCAGTCTCCAAAACGTTCTATTGCAAAAGATAAGCCCAAAAGAAATATTAAACCTTCTCGAAGATATATTGAAGAAGCGAACATAGTTGCTTATGCTTTGAGTGTAGCAGAAGAAATTGAAGGTAATGCCGAACCTTCTACATATTCTGAGGCTATTGTTTCTGATGTTTGCAATAGATGGATAACTGCTATGCATGATGAGATGGAGTCACTTGAAAAGAATCATACTTGGGAATTGGTGAAGTTGCCAAAGGAGAAGAAACCTATCCGTTGCAAGTGGATCTTCAAAAGAAAGGAAGGTATGTCTCCAAGTGATGAGGCAAGGTACAAAGCAAGGTTAGTTGCTAAAGGTTATAGCCAGATTCCAGGTATTGATTTCAATGATATCTTTTCCCCTGTTGTGAAGCATAGTTCAATTCGTACTTTACTCAGTATTGTTGCAATGCATGATTATGAACTAGAGCAAATGGATGGTAAGACTGCATTTTTACATGGGGAGTTAGAAGAGGACATTTATATGGAGCAACCTGAAGGTTTTGTTGTTCCTGGAAAAGAGAACCTAGTCTGTAGATTGAAGAAATCTCTTTATGGGTTGAAGCAGTCACCTAGACAGTGGTATAAGAGATTTGACTCTTTCATGCTTTCTCAGAAGTTTAGAAGATCCAATTATGATAGCTGTGTTTATCTTAAAGTTGTTGATGGTTCAGCTATATATTTGCTTCTTTATGTCGATGATATGTTGATTGCTGCAAAAGATAAATCAGAGATAGAAAAGTTGAAGGCACAATTGAGTAGTGAATTTGAGATGAAGGATTTGGGTGCAGCGAAGAAAATTCTCGGTATGGAAATTACTAGAGAAAGACATTCTGGCAAGTTATATCTTAGTCAGAAATGTTATAGTGAAAAAGTTCTTCGTCGTTTCAATATGCATGATGCAAAACCAGTGAGTACTCCGTTAGCTGCACATTTCAGATTATCTTTAGATTTATGTCCACAGTCATATTATGATGTTGAATACATGTCTAGAGTTCCTTATTCAAGTGCAGTTGGTTCACTTATGTATGCCATGGTATGTTCTCGTCCTGACTTATCACATGCATTGAGTGTTGTCAGTAGATACATGGCTAATCCTGGCAAAGAGCATTGGAAAGCTGTTCAATGGATTTTCAGATACCTACGTGGTACATCTAGTGCTTGTTTGCTGTTTGGGAGATCTAGAGATGGACTTGTTGGTTATGTGGATTCAGATTTTGCTGGAGATTTGGATAGGAGAAGATCGTTCACAGGTTATGTTTTCACTATTGGAGGATGTGCTGTTAGTTGGAAGGCAAGTTTGCAAGCAACTGTTGCCTTATTTACTACTGAAGCAGAGTATATGGCTATTTCTGAAGCTTGTAAAGAAGCTATTTGGCTTAGAGGTTTGTACACTAAGCTTTGTGGAGTTACGTCTTGCATTAATATATTTTGTGATAGTCAAAGTGCAATATGTCTTACAAAGGATCAAATGTTCCATGAGAGAACAAAGCACATTGATGTGAGATATCACTTTATTCGATGTGTGATTGCTGAAGGTGATGTCAAGGTATGCAAGATAAGTACTCATGATAACCCAGCTGATATGATGACAAAGCCAGTTTCTGCTACTAAATTTGAGCTTTGCTCAAGCTTGGTTGGTGTTACAATATAGTCCTAGAGACTATTTGGCGCGCGGTGATTTTACCTACATGAGGTATTTTTGGTGATTGATGTTTTTATGCTACAAGAGGAAATTCGTCTCAAGGTGGAGATTGTTAAATATGTGATCCGAATTTTGGGCCCACAATATATTCGGATTAGTTTCCTAGTAGGAATTCCTATTAGGTGTCTTTCTATTTCCCCTACATATACTCTTATAAGCCGTACGGGAAGGGGTGACGTTCCCATTGTGATTCCCCTACGTTTGTAATCATCTCCTCTATAGTGATCATTGCCGGTCGGCGCCCGTGGTTTTTTCCCGCAAGGGTTTTCCATGTAAAATTCGTGTCTCCGTTGTGCATCTATTTTCATAACACAGCTCAATGTATCCGTCTGCGTTTCTCTGGCCGATCGAGAACAGGTTTTCCTATCCATTGATGGCTGGTACGTTTACAAGTGCGACCTGCGTGATGGGTCGCTCGAAGAAGTGATCGACATGGCGCGTGACTTGACGTATGATCACCGGAATGGGATAAAATTCCGCATTGGTGAGCTCCCTGTTGCCCACTACATGCTGCCCTGTGTGGAATCGATCGTCCGTATTAGGCCATGATAATAATGAGCGATCGCATTGTGTGCGATCGATTAAGAATTAGTATGTGCATGGGTGCACCTTAAGGTTGTTTTCCAATTTCTCGCGTGGAAGTCTTGTAATCTGAGTTGGTGGAAACACTACTGTTTTTTAGATAATAGAAATTTATAAAACCCGGGTTCTATACACCAACGGGGGTGTATACAGCCATATGAAACACTACTGTTAATTCATGATTATCTTGCGCCAAGTCCCCGTATTGTTTTTGTTCTTTCTCATCACATTACATTATTGAGCCAAACAAGGCACAAGTACATTTGCTGCATATTTGGGAGTAGTAGATTTTAGGGCATATTTGGCGCGTAATTCAGTTGACTCCAACCAAAACCCACACCCCAACAAGAGCTCCCTCCGGATCGACAAGCTCCACACGAACTCCCGAAGCTCCAGACCTTTGAGCCGACGCGCGGTGGAGAGCAGGCGCCGACGCGCCAACATCTGGTCGATCCCCACCGGAGAGGGGATCTCAGATGAGCGTCTCAGATGAGCTTATTCCCCTCATATAAGACCGCTGGGAAGTCTATGGATTCAGTCTCGTTTGCAGTCGTGCGCAGCCCAAGCAATTGCTCGCCCAAGCTGGGCGGTGCATCTGCCGCAGTAAGCCTTATTTAGGCTGTGTTTGAGGAAGAGATAATTGGGAAGATTAGAAAGATACGTAAAACGAGGTAAGTCATTAGCATATGATTAATTGAGTATTAACTATTTTAAACTTCAAAAATGGATTAATATGATTTTTTAAGCAACTTTTCTATAGAATTTTTTTTTGCAAAAAACACACCGTTTAGTAGTTTGAAAAGCGTGCGCACGAAAAATGAATGACAATCTCCCCTATCTCCAATGAACGAACGCATCCTTAGTTTAGAGAGGATTGAAAAGAATTGGAGGGGATTGATGAAAAATAATTCCACACCTTCAATCGCTCTCTCATGAATTAACCGAACAAGACCTACGAGATTAACCTAACCACTTGAGCACACGTGCTTTCGGCCTCAAAGGCCCACGTGGGGCCCAAGTAAATTTCGGCCCAAATTCCCGCGGCCGCTCAGAGCCGTCGCCTCCGTCTGGGCTTGGATCCAACGGCCACGGCTCTCTCATCGCCGCGCCCCCAAAACACAGCCGCCGCCGCCGTCCACCCGCGCATCCCCTCCCTGCTCCTCCTCCTCCTCCCCCCCTCGCGGCGGCGGCGCCGGCGAGTGGCTCCCCCGAGCGCGCCTCCCTTCCGCGAGCCCTCCTTCCACCACCGAAGCACGACCTCCACCTCGCTCTCCGCTCTACTGGACTGTAGCCGAGTGGAGATTGGCGGCAAGCCCAACCATGCTCGGATTATTCTGAGAGTGAGTGTGTTTGTTCATCCAGTTCTCTTCATCCAATCCAAATCTTTCTTTCTAGGAGGGAGGGAGTGCCCAGTTCGCCGTGGATTTCTTTTCTTGCGTCAGTGATACTGATACAGTGATACATACAGTTTGTTCTCCAAAAAGTTTTGGGGGATTCAGCTGAATCTCCATGCTCCGGTCAGTGCCAGCCGCTCGCCACAGGTGGCTTCCATGGAATGGCCTTGCCAGGGGCTCATCCAGAACCCCACATTGTCATGCTGCTGCTGCTGCTGTCAGTTCTTGGCATGTCCATGATTCATCATCACCATGTGCGTCGAGCTGGAGCTGGGCCAGTCAGGTTGGTGACAGGATTCAGCTGCGGCCATTCTCGGCCGCTCCGGCGATCGTCGGGGATGGGATTGAGGATGTGGATGATCGGAGGGTCAAGCAGATGCGGAGGAGGCGCGACGCCCGCATCGCGCAGAAGGCATTCATGGAGTACCTCCATGTCACGCGTGGGATTTGCTTCAGTGATGCCGAGCACATGAGCAAGCGCTCGCCGATCTTCATCAGCAAGCTGCTGGAGAAGGTGAAGGATGCGGCGAAGGAGCCCACGGAGGAGGGGGAGGAGGTGCCCTTCAGGTCGAAGGTGAAGAAGAGGGAGATGAGGGATGAGAGGGTCAGCAAGGCGTTGGTGCGGCTGTTCAACTTCCACCCTATCAACGAGTTCGAGCCGTTCTTCGAGAGTATCGGCATCGCGCCGGGCGAGTATGAGCCATTGTTGCCTCGTGATCTCATGTTTCTCAATGATGATGAGACGATGCTCGACAATTTCCGGGTGCTTTGCAACTATGGCATCGCGCGCACCAAGATAGGGAGGATATACAGGGATGCTACCGAAGTGTTTAGTTTTGGCCATGGAGTTCTTGCGTCGAAGCTGAAGGCCCTTGAGGATCAAGGGTTGAGTAAGACCAGTGTGATCAAGCTAGTGATGTCGAGCCCTGTCATACTGGTCCGTGATCCAAATGTGGAATTGAAGATTCTGCGCTGGCTAGATGATGTTGGAATTCAGAGAGACTGGCTTGGCCGATTCTTATCTGTAAAGAAGTCTTATAACTGGGGAAAGATGGTCCAAGTCCCTCAGTTCTTCAGTGATTTAGGATTCACTAATGAAGGTATTGGCAAATTGGTCAGACAGAATCCCGATTTCTTGTTTAGTGGTTCAGGAAAGATGCTGTTCTCGGCAGTCCTCGTCATGCTAAAAGCTGGGTTTGGAAAAAAGGAATTGGTTGATCTTTTTCTGAATTTCCCAAATTTGTCAGTCGACAATTTCACGAGGAACCTGCGAAGGGGCATATTCTTCTTAGCTGAGATTGGTGTTAGTGAAGAGGACATTAAGAAATTTGTGGTGTCTAACGGTTCAATACTTGGTTCCGTCCAATTGAAGAAACCAAACAGCATTATGACACATCTCAGTGTAGGGAAGAAGCGCCTTTGCAGGATGGTAATGGAGGATCCACAACTGTTGATGAAATTCTCATTAGGGGCAAAGGTCAGCCGCATACCGAAAGTTGATCTCCATGAAGCATCCTTCAAGGAGAAGGTGAAATTTTTACAGAACTTAGGATTTATGGAAGGATCCGAACGAATGACGAGGGGACTCAAAGCATTTCGTGGTAAAGGTGACGAGCTAAAAGATCGCTACGACTTCTTGGTCAAGACCGGTTTGGACCCGGAACATGTGGTGCAGATGATCACTATGGCTCCACATGTTCTGAATCAGAAGATCCATGTCCTTGAATCCAAGATATCCTTCCTTGTAAATGATATGGGATATCCTCTGAGTACCCTGGTAATTTTCCCTTCATTCCTCTCGTTTACCGTGGAGAGAACCAAGCTTAGGTTTTTGATGTACAATTGGTTGTTGGAGAAAGGAGTGATTGCTACTGGACTAGCTCTTAGCACTCTCCTAGCCACTGCAGACAAACATTTCGTAAAACGTTATGTAGTAAGGCACCCCATGGGTTTAGAAGTCTGGGAGAAATTCAAGACAGAGGTAGCTTCAACAAAAAACAACACACCCTGTACTCCAGATGATTAGCCTGATATGTTATATTTTTCTTTCTCATCAACTTACTTTTTTGCTGGCTAAGCAACTCGTTTTGCTGCACACCAATAGGTTGCCCCAACTTTGTCTGGAGTTTTTCTCCCTCTCTTAACTTTAGGTGTGTATATCTCTGTTAATGATTTTGTCCACAGAGAAGATTGTTGATCTTGCCATTGATCATTTTTGGCCCAATTTTCATCCATAAGTTCTACATGTTCAGAGGTTGATAAACCTGGAAGTCCTGTAACCTTTTCTAGCCCCATCATGCTTCATGTGGTAAATGGTCAAGAGATCCTTGGCAGTAGCAGTAATAATGTGATCATTTGTGCAACCACAATATAACCACATCATCAAATTTTCCTTTATGGAAGGAAAAAAAGAACAACTTATGTATGATTTGTTAAGTGACCCAACTTCCCATCCTATCTCATAAATGGGCCAGAATTAGTTCAAACTCCCCAGCCCATACAGAGGGATGGATGAGGATTATGAATTCATGATGGGCCAAAATTTTAGCTTGAATTTTCAGGCCATCAAACCGAAGCAAAGGCCCATCATTTCTCTCTCTTCTTCAGACAAGATTTGCTCGCTGTCAGAGCACTGAATCATCATCATTCATCAGACACAAACTCATGGCTCGGTTGGCACATTCGCAGTGGAGCGAACGGCGGTCGCGAGTTCGACTCGTGGGACCTCACCTCGACGGGTTTTTTTTCCGTCTTTCCTAAGGACTGTCCTTCGGGGTATTTTCGACTAGAAATAGGGTACACACGTATGCGCGTGCACTGAGACACCTAGTGGTCTTCAATCTTATTTTTAGCGTGTGTGTGCGTGTGTTATGGTGTGTGAGTGTGCGTGCTAAGTTGCACCCTTCTTAAAAAAAAAACTCATGGCCAGGAGCTGTTTGAGTGGATAAGAATGGTGAGCAGGATGGCTGGGTCAGCTCTGCTCACTGCCACATGGAATGGGCAGTTGGACCCTGTGGGTAGTTTCCTCTTGGACAGTTGGACCAGCTGACGCTGCTCCTGCTGCTGTTGTGGGATGACACCGACACGGTGGAATTCGCCAGCATCCAGCCGTTTTTGCAGTCCAGTCCGCACACCATCCGTACCCGCTCATCGCATCCCCCGTGGACCGAAACACCGTGTGTTTTGTTTGTTAACAAGTTTTCCTGCTTCTTCTGAATTTACCCCTTTCACGTCATGTTTAACTGTTCTAAATAGATGATAGATTATCTAATTTTATGGTGATGTTGTAGGGTACAGATGAATGAATTAATAACTATTAAAAAGGTGAAAAGTTTTTTTAAAAAATATTTTGAACAATTTATATATTGAAAGTGTTTTTTTTAAAAAAAGATGTATCGTTTAGGAACTTAAAAAATGTATTCGTGATAATATATAATCTTTGTAATCTTGAAGAGAAAGAACAGGGCCTCGGTTATAATAAGAGCAGCAGAGAATTGTTGTCGTCTTTGACATTACAACCAATTGCTGCTATGTAGTTATTCTCTAATTAATCTGTGTCAAGTGGTAGTGCTAAATGATTGCGTATACAAATGAGACTCGAAACTGCCTGTCCCGGTCACAACATCGTTCAGGAAGAGACACAGAAATGATCAAGAAAGTGGATGGAAAATGCGTGCAGAAAGCAGACACCATTATATGCCATTAAACATGCAAGATTTTGCTTGAGTCGTGCACTACAGCTACAGAAGCAGTGTACGTCGCTTTCTTGGCTTCCTACCATAGCCATATGGAAAGTATGCGTGAAAGAAACATCAGCATTTGCTGCATTTCTGTCTCTGGGTTGTGCCAGGATGCATGGACAGCATGAGCCCAGCTAATAAATAATACAGCTGCCAACAAAATCTCTGAACAATTTGGTGCAATGCCCTGAAAAGATTATGAACCGAGAAAGTAGTTGCTAGATAGTACTATCAATGTTCATTCATCATCAGATACATTGGGCTGAACATTTCTGGTTCAGAGATATGCCAGCTGCATAATAATACAATGGCTAAAACATTGCAAACCTGGATATCGCACTGGAAGCCAGAAAGAGCAGCAGTGATTTTTCTTATTGTTGCCAAATACAATGCTTCTGAATGGTACTGCACATGAACTGAACATAGAACAGCCTGACGAACAAATCATCCAGCTGCATTGTAGCTCGCACATATTGCAACATATTCTGCTTATTCTTCCTTAAAAAGTTTATCTTACAAAATTTCATCCATCATTAGATAGCTTCCTAATGCCGGAGAGAACTACTCCCTCATCACGCGCCAGGTAAATCCACGGGTGATCCTTGTACAATGCTTACATGATTTACTCAATGGAATGGAATCGAATCGAATCTATATATACATATTCAAGCAGTGCCAAGCACTGCTGAATGAAAAAGACCTAGGTACCTGACTTATTACTACCAGGCCTTAGCTGAGCTAGAAAGCTGGGAAAGAATGGGCGATACATCTTACACTGTTACATCTCGCTCAGCAGATTGCTGATCTTGCGAAGCTCCGTCAGAGCAGCCATTGCAGTGACCTGTCCTTTGCCTCCAAGAATGTTGTTTGAGAAGTTCTCCACAGGGCCAGGCTGACCACGGTCTTGCTGAAATGCCGACTCAATCACCTAATCATTTTGTAAAGACAAGGTTATTCAGGCTTACTTTAAGTACATGAAAAATAATATTGAATACAGTACCTGGATATTTTCAAGCATGTTTTGTCCAAGATTCTTTAGGCTGCCCATGACCTTTTTATCACCAGAAGCCAACTTTACGCTACCACGGGAGTTATTTGAATTCCCATCAGAAGGAGAACAGGATGTGTCCCCGTCTTGTTTATCAGCTGATGTCTCTCCACTACTCTTCTCCATGTTGCCTTCAACCGAAGGTCTTCCCAACTTCAAGAGCCACTGGAATTTACTAATGAATGGCTTTCTTTCATTAGAAACGACAGCCCTCTCAGAGGTTCCATTTCGGTCTGGACTTTTATCAGAAGATGCTGCTTCTGAATCTTGGATGGTTTTGTTATCATCATTAGAGCTGGATGGCTCATCTTTCAGAATTTCATCCCTATCATGGTCACCAGCAAAGGAATTTGAGGTAACACTGCTACTCTCAGAATCCGTGTCCTGGCCATTCAAAGGTTCATTACCAGCACTGGCTCTGGCTGCATAGAACACTGGAGAGTTCTCACCGCTGGAACAAGCTTCTGGTACACACTTTGTCCCCTGTGTTGCGTTCTCATTAGCTGGCTCAACCACAGATTTTTTTAGAGGGCTGAGTTTTGCCACACATGATGCGCTCACAGTTACATTTTCACCAGCTGCCTTTAACTTGGAAGGCTCTGCAGAGCTCAGAGGATGCTCCCTGTGAACTGAGATGATAGGGAATTCGTCTTCCTGAGTTTTCCCGGCAAGTTCATTAGAACAATCCAAATCATCTGATAAAGTATTCAGAAGGCAACGTCTTACTGAATTCCGAGTATCATTACTACTCACACTGAGGACCTTCACTGGAGAAGGATCTGACTCTGTCCTAGATAAACCAAGCTTCTGGGTCAAAGATTTCTTTAATTGTTTACTAAAAGAATTGCCCCTCTCAACCTCCTTGGGGGTTGTTCCGTCCTTGTGCACATTCCTCCACTTCTCTTCCCAGTAACTCTCAGAAACAGGATGCAATGGAGTTCTCGGAGGAGTTGAAGAAGAGAGATTGCTGTGAACTCTGTCAAACTCATAGCTATCCCTCTTTAAAAGGAAAGATGAGGATGAAGTGTTCGCATCAATTGCAATAGACTGTAGGGAGTTGGCTTTCTCAATTAGCTTCTGCACATCAATATTCGTTGGAAAATTTAATAATCTCTGAAGACAGAAGACATCAAGTTCAGTAGCCAACAAAGACGACCTAATATGAAGAAGCATAGAAACTGCCATGGCTGCAATAAATGCTCCTCTATCTGAACACAAGATACGAAAGTTATATTCCTCATCACTACTTAGCAGCATATTGTTTGAACAAGCAAAAACTTTGTCCCATACTACCAAAAGATCATTGAGGCAGAATTCTCGTCCAAACAAGACTCGCAACCAACGAAGTGCGAACCACTGTGGTTCCACTTTCAACTCAATGAAATGATTATGGAGGGTTGGCTCAACAATTGAGAGCAAATGAAATAATGCTGATGAGGCTTCAATAACAGGTGGTAGATTTGAGCTAGATCCAACAGAGGATGGGGAGAAAAACTCTGCCATGCGTACCACTCCGCTACCTCCATCCATCAAACCATCAAACATAGAATAGGCATCATGTTCCATAAACCTTTCTGACAAAACAATGCCTAGTTCGCCTTCCGCGCCATATGCATCACTAAGTAAAATTATTTCTTTTGTGTCCGGATCAAGCTCATCAAGAGTGTTACTTTTGGAAGATCGTTCAGAATCATTCTGATTGTCAGCTCCAAAACTCCATTTTGGGTCCTTTCTAGGTTTATAGCTGAAAACCATATCGGTATCTGGGAAAGGAACTCCATCAAAATCATCATTGAAGCAATCTTCATGCAATTTTCGTACTTGAGATAGTTTGTCAATGTCAACTTGAAGAACATACACTAGAGGGGCCAATAGCTCATGCATTCCTGTGACAAAAATAGTCGATAAGTCTTTCCACATATGCCAATCAAATAAAATCATAACAAATTTGGAGAGATGATGATAATCAATTGGGTCATGCTAAGTAATCAGAATTTCAATGCCACATCTTTAAAAGAAAAAAATCAATACCGAAAACACTACATGGTATAGGTGGATAGCACTTCAAGAGTTTAAACCTTATAACAAAATGAACGTTTTTTTTATGTATTTCCTTGTGAAAGGATCTCAGGACCTATTAACTTGTAAAAGGATCTCAGAGCTTATCAATATGCCCTAACAATGTATTCTAGAATTACAATTTTCATGCCCATAAGTGGGAACTTCTAACAACAAGCTAAGCTAAATGACATTAAAGGATGTCAGCTCCATTCAAATTTGCGACAGGGAGGGCAGAGCCAATCAGATTACTTCGATCAACTCTAATTGAGAAATTAGTAACTATTGTAAATTTTATATGCAAAAGGAGTTCCTTACCTTGGCGGTATCCATGTTCTGGGTGCTGAAGGCACCACATCAATAGTATTCGACGCAGCATGGCCTGACAAGTAGGCGTTTGAAAGTAACTTCCATCTTCAGGATATAAACGAGACAAATCTTGATCTACGGTTTTTTCCAACTCCGCGCCTCTGAAAAACCGACCCCAGCTACTATCTACAGAGGGATGTTGAATAATTACTAACACATATAGAGCATTAACTTAAGCAATAAACATCTATGCTGATAAGCGGGCATCAACTTATGGTTGTTCATCAGCATTAATGAATAATGATCATGCAGATGTTTAAAGATTCTCACGCAGCTAAATAAGCAGGTGTGAAACAAGTGCATCCATGTTCTAATACATCATTATCCCGATCTATGACGATAACTCCACACTATCTATGGGAATTTACTCTTTATAGATCATGCAAGGATTTGAAGACTTTCACCACCAAATAAGAAGGTAGGAAACAAGTGCATAAATGTTCTAAATTCTAACATATCATCGACCAAATCTTAAGCTTAGCATCTCATCATCATAAATTCATGCTTGTATCAATACCAGGGTTCTGAGATAGCGGGTTGTCGACAATGAGGTTTGATGATCTGCCCTCCTCCTTCGGAACATGAGGGTCTACCAGAAGACGTCGTCTCAAACTAACATATCTGCAAACAAATCAGATGTTAAATAAATATATATAGATGAAAGGAATAAGAAGGACCAATGCTCCAATCATATAAAAATGACAAATTTGTCTAATTGACAAGGTCAGCAGAAATTTCTCCACCAATTCCATCTCATGAATCAAGTATGGAGATATCACCATGTGCACACAACACCATCACAAACAAAAGATTACCAACATACAAATTATTTCATGCTAAGTTATGACACTAAACAAATCACGATTGCATGGTTTCTCCTCAAACCAAGCCAGAAATTCATGCCAATCAAAACCATCTGGGAAGTGAAAACAAAAACCTTTTATACCACACAAACACAAGAACCAAACCAAAAATAGGGGAATCGATAACAACATCGACTAAGCAGAGATCAACGAACCCAAGAACAAACCGCACATGGCACAGAATCGCAAAACACGGGGCATCACAAGCAGCATGAGCCTCACCTCCTCCGCGAATCGGCGGCGGCGCGGCGGTGCTCGTCCACCGACGCCCCCGGCGAAGCCGGCAGGATGCCGAGATCGACCCGCCACCGGACGCCGCGAAGATTCGAGAACCGCCGCCTCTCCTCCCCCTCCTCCGCCATGCCCCCCTCCTCCCTCCCTTCACTCCCCACAAGAATTGGGCTTTTCCTCCTCAAATTAAGCAGCAGCAAACAACCCCGAAGAAGAAGAACCTTTCCACGAGAGATGAGGCCGAGAACGCCTAAAGATAGCCGTGCACGCCTGTCAGAAACCCCAAGAAAAGGAGGATCTTTTCGGGATAAAGATGGATTTTTTTGGAGGATTTTGGGAGATGAGCGGATGATTTCTCCCCTTCTCTCCCCCTCCTGTGATTGTTCGCGTGAATCGCGCCTCCTTGTTGTTCTTGTTGGGGAGAGGAGGAGGGTTTGGCCTTTGATGAGATGGATGCTTGCAAGGAAGAGAGAGAGGGGGTGGCTTGGTTGGGTGGGTGATGAGAGAGAGAGAGTTTCTCTCTCTTATTTTTCTTGGGTTTTTTTTCTCTCTTTTATTAGGAGAGAGAATCTAGAGAGAGAGGCTGGGGATTTTGTTCTATAGTGGTGAGGGGAGGTGTGGTTTTAGTTAGGGAGATGATGATGATGATGACTAGGAGTGGGAGACCTTGGTGAGTGAGTGATTGGCTTGGTGGGCTAGCTTATTGGCTTCATTTTTTGTTCCTATGTAAATCTTATTTATTTGTTTATTAGTATTGTTTGATTATTATTGTAAACATGTTTGTGTGGTTTCTATAGAAATTGAATGGTTTTGTTTTGTGTTAGGTTGTGAAGGGAACATAATGCATGGATGAGATGTGGGGAGGTAGGGTAGAGGGATGATGTGGTGGTGATGTTGTTGCTTTGTGGACTATTTTTGTGGAGATGAAGCATTGAATGTTGAGTCCATACCCTTTGGTCTATGAATTTTTAAGACTTGTATTCGACTAGTTGTAAACAAAAGAAATTCCTCGCATTAATCAACGTGTGGGTATAGACGTGTATATATATGTGTGATATTTCATGGTCTGTGGTAAAAATATATGGACAAAAACGAACTATGAAAGTTTTACATGTCAAAAACATTAAGTTCTTCATAGTAGGAATACCATTATGTCGCATATTGTACATTTTTTCACATATATAATGCATGTGAAATAAAACACCAGTGGCAAAGATCACTATTTTCCGATTGATTAATTAAGGGGTTGTTTTTTTATTGGTTGATTGTTGAATAATTTATGATAATTATTTGAGGGTATAGACGAATAAAATATTATAAAATTAAAAATGAATTTAAATTATTATCCAAAAAATATAAAAAAGTTATGTACAAATAAAAATCACACTATTTAGAAGTTTGGGAAACATGCGCATTTTTTTGATCATTCTGCTAGGTGTTTAATGGAGCATATATGAGACAATTTATGTGAAATAGAACCCTAGTAATAAACATCATTTACTTTTGCTTGACTGGTTGTTCTTATTTAATCATATCCACTTTAAATTCATTTCTTGGAAATATTAAATGGTGTCCACAAATTAGTTAGAAATTTTCTTCCTAACATATAATTATAAGAACACCACAAAGTCTCTCAGTATATGTGATGTGCGATCAATGCAATAAAGTTTAATGTTAACAAATGAGCTTAAATATTTCCATCTGATTCTGAGATGCTTTCAGAAGGAATAGTGTGCTCAATTTCCAAAGGAAATTAATTAAGTTATAAGAACAAATATATATGTGGCGACATGGCGTCATAATTCTTCTGACAATTTCTCTAGCACGTACAGTAGCAAGTTACTTAGCAGCATTGGCTCTGGTAGTTTATACATTACTGTCTCTGCAGTTGACGTCGAAAACGAACTGAAGATTTCTTGCATGCTACAGCAATCTGTAGAGTTAATTTCAGCTTGCTTCTAATGGCATCATAAGTCCATAACAAAATAGCTCATATTTTTAAAGTTTTTTTTTGGCAAATGGTTCAACAATAACCAGGATAACTTCTCATGTTTATTAAATTCATGATGTATATTGTATACCACCATATACCCAACAAGCTAAGCATCCATTGACTAGCACCTTGGCATATGCTTAAATTTCCCCAGAACTAGTAGCTTAATTAGGATCAAATCAACGGTCTAGATTACCTGCTAATCTCATCACCAAGTCTGAGAGCCACACGATCTCTGCCTAAGAATGTTCTTGCACTGTAGTTAGCTAAAACCACGAGACAAAATACGTATTCTCTTCGGTATTAGCGACAGTGACAGCAGCAAGTCCCGGTACGTTTCCGTTCTCCAGCTCATTACTGATCGCGACACGCAGTAATCACCATGATTAGTAATAGCTTTCTGTTCCTCTCGTGCAAGTAAATGCACGGATAATTAAGGATTTTATCACATACGTAAGATGTAGTAGCAGGAAGCAATCGTTTTACTTCTCTCCTTCCACAAGATGTACTGATTTACAAGATGATGATTGTGATTTACCATGTGATAAGATGATGACATGGCACTGCTTAATTAATTTCTTGGTTAAGCATTTGGATAAATCTTTTTAACTAATTAAGATTATAAGAATGGATGATGCATCAGCTGCAAGGAATGGATCGTATATATGTATGTATTTGGTTTTAAAAAAAAAAATTGGTAAACTAGCGCGTGTTTATCGATCCGGTCGAGCCTGACGACATGGACCCTGTTTAATTAGTTTAGATTCGGTAAACGATTGTGTGTTATAGCCACCAAATTGCGAATTTATTCTAATTGAATATGAATACTAACACTATTGGGGTGCTACTGGCTAGTAGTATTATTAGCTCGGTTGGCTATCAAGATAGGGAAACTTAATTAGAATTCGAGTGAGGAAGTTGTATGTCTCTGAATTGACAGTGCCACCCCTGTTTTTTTTTATTATGAGATGTATTTTATTTTTTTAGGATAAGATTTTGACAAATAATTATCCTACGTAATATATTATATGACACAAAAGTATAATCATGAATAAGTACTTTTAAATACGAATCTAACAACATTATATCATAATATAGTAATTATTTATTTAAAGTCTTATCCTAACAAAACATGCGTCATGTATTTTCCTAAGTAGTAACCTTGGGTGTTTCAACGAAGTATCCTACTGGCTGCACATCTGAACATTTCATTTCGGATCACTCACATTTTCTTCCATGTCTGCTTATGATAATTCAGCAAGGTCCAGCTTGGCAGTGACTGTTTGCAAACGTGTACATGCTGGGCTGAACATTTGGCTCCATGTTGAGCTTTCTCCGAAAATGCCAGTGGCATTCAGTTTCAGCAAGGACAGATACAGACGCAGTACGTAGTTTTCTAAGCTCCAATTATTGATCGACTGAAAAATATGTCACATAAAAAGTGCAACTCCTTTTTCATATACTGACACCAACTCTTGTGAATTTCAGTGTTAAGAAGCATGATTAGAAACATTTTCCAAAATATTAGTTAATATCTTTTGCAACTTAATTTATGTATGGTACTATGGTTGATGGCTTGTGGATCAATGGTCCTTAGATAAATCGATCTGACCAAATTGTGGTGTAAGTACATCTGTCAAACAGTCAATAGGCATGGAATGTTTTTTCAGACAGTAGGAGTACTCTTTAGCACTCGTTTCACAGCAAGTAGTACTACTACTAGTCATGTGCACTGCACTACTATTTCTAGTGCAATTATTTGTTTATCTTATTGTGTTTGCATAGTTAGATCCAACACTCCAATATATAATTCTCGTCTTGTTGAATTATTTCCTCGTGATCCTCTCAATCAGAAAAAGAATTTGTGCCAGGTGCATATACTCCAAACTAAGTGGCATATCCTTAACCATATATGCATGTGCAACTCTCTCCAAATTGTTTCTTTAAACCCAAAAAACCACCATATATCTATTTTACAAAAAAAATTCGAAGTTGCACAATCTGTTACAAATCAATCCATCTCCCATTCACTGGTACAAAAGAGACATTTTTCGGCAATTTGGAGGTACTAGAGATACATCATCGCTATTTCTATGTAGCGACTAAATAAAGTATTTTTTTCCCGTTTGGCGGGGTTAAATTAACTATACGGCCGACTACATTATTTCACTCGACAAGTTTGGTTACTGATTAATCCATCTCCAATGATTGCTACAGAAGAGACATTTTTTTCGGCGATTGGAAGGTACTAGAGATACATCCATAATATATTTTATAATGAAATATGTATAAATCTTTTGCGTATTCCCTAACTGATGAAGTATAAAATTTAATATATTTTATGCTTGATTACCTAGCGGTCGGTGGTGGTTTATGCCCTGACGACAAGCTAGGCGGCCAAGCAAGCAGACAGGTTTGGTCAGAGTCCATTTTTGCTTGTGTTTCAAGCCAATGGCAGCCTCACATCACACCGGCACTTAGGACTTTTTAATCAGCGAGTGATGGTGCCAATAATTATTAGCAGCTTAGCTCCAAATACAGGCACAGTTTCATGGTCTCCAGTTTTGTCACTGGTCGCTTTCTGCTACCGACTAAGCAATGCTGTGTTGTGGCTAAATGAAAACCATGATGAATTAATTTGTGGTTAATTTTGGGTTTTCTGATCTGCTGGTAACACAGCTACAAAAAGGCAAAGCAAAGTTATATTGAGTGATGTAACTATCAGAACTTCTTGCCACGGCAAGTTAATTTGCAGCTTAGATTTCAGAAGATTTGGTGATGCAGAGACAGGCATGATTTCAGGTTTGCTTGCTTCAGTTGTATATATGGGCATTATGAGTAGTAGGTGTTACATTATGAGCAGGGAGAAAATGTAAAGAAGCCGACCAAAGTAGAAGAAATTGTCCCAATGTCACCAAGTTATGGCCATATTTCATTTTCGTTAAACGATAAAACAAAATTAAGCCAAATGTGGAACAAATTGAGTGGACCATTGCACTGTCCGTTCAATTCGAGAAAATTAACATTATGCCATCATTAAAAGTGGGTTTTGCCCAAATACCACCCTACAAAATGGATTCGATAAAATACCACTGTCAATACACGGTTACACGCTAAAATATTACCTCGGACCAAATCGCCCTCTTCTCCTCTTCTTCCTCCCTCCATCACTATCAGCTCTCGCCGGCGGCCACATTGCACCGTTGACGGCACAATCGATTGCGCAGGACAAGCAGATGGTATCGTGGGGGTGGGGGAGAGGCGGGGGATGTCACCTGGCCTTGGCAGCGGGTGGGGAGCGGCTCCGTGAAGGGGACGACGACGACGAGAAGGAGTAGGAGTGGGAGCGCAATCGGGACGAGCCGGAGCCCGAGGAGACGAAGCGGGACTGCGAGCGAGAGGAGGATCCCGAGGAGGAGCGCGAGGCGGAGCGGCCGCGGCGCGGCTACGACATCGTCTCCGGCTGCTACTGCCCGTGGCGCTCGCACTCCCGCTCGCGCCGTCGAGGTGGAGGCTGGCGTGGAGCCTGCCGGCGGCCGAGGCGCGAGAGGAGGCCTCGCGAATGTGGATATGGGGCTCGGGCTCGGGCCCAGGCGTGGGGTTTTGGCGCCGAACGCCGCGGCGGAGGAGGCAGAGGCAGATGTGGCCGTTGCCATCCTGCCCACGCCGCTGCCGATGGTGGCATTGTTGCCGCCGGCGAGAGCTAATGATGTTGGAGGGAGGAAGAAGAGGAGAGGAGGGTAATTTGGTCCTAGATAGTATTTTAGCGTGTAACCATGTGTTGATAGTGGCATTTGGGCGAAAACCACTTTTGACGATGGCACAATGTCAATTTTCTCGTTCAATTCACTATAGAGCTCCAGCCTAACAATTTCACAAAAATGGCTAGATATTTGCTCCACGCTTCGAAAAACCATTTTCCTTATATTTTCTTATTATATTGCTTAGACCACTTATTTTAAATCAATGGCAATAATATGTTTAATAATCTAAATCAAAACCGGGCCTTAAATTAAACAAAGCCAAAATGAAGTAACCTCATGGAATGGAGCCTCATCATTCAGAACAGAAAATTGCAGTAACTAATCACTAGTAACTTTGAAGCATCAAGGGTGACTGAAGATTTTTCTTACATTCACATAATCTGAATTTGGAAGATATAAAAAGGTGTGGCGGGAGTGCATGAAAGCAACAAGAATAAAATTCTCTGCAGGCAGAATTGCAAAAAATTGAAAGGATAAGCAAGAAGCATCCATCCACAGCAAGCAAGAAGCAACCATGCAGATGCTTACGTACCTCAACATTCATATCAGACTAATCACTTCTTTATCAGCTGAAACCTCACAAACTGACATAAATTTACAACCATAAAATCGCCTTCTTACAGCTTGCATTTTGAAATGGACATCGTCATCAAGAGAAGGAGACAACAATTAATCTCATTGTACTACTAGTAAAACTAGTTAGCAATTAAAGATGTAATTAGCGACAAATCAGCTTGGACGTCATCACATAAATACGTGTAAAGAATTATGCAACAGAAAAAGGAGTTTAATTAATTTGTGTACACAATGCAAAGGGAGGGAAACGTGTCACATGCATGAACATCAGTCTTAATGTATGTAGTAGTAGTATACATTATTGTATTTTGATGGCATATCATAATTATTCCAAACGACAAGATTTTTTTTTCTCTTTTCCTTTAAAAAACTAATAAAAGACAAGATTAAAGTGCCAGATTAAATGGATGTGGTGTAGGAGAACTAGTGATCTACTACTCCTAGGTCCAACTAACTAATATTCGAACATATCTATTTGAGATATTTAACCATTTGGCACATTTAGATGTGTCAATTAACTTTTTGCCACTGGACCCACATATTATAGACACATATGGACTCACATGTTATAAAGATAGGGGTGGCAAATAGTTATTTGCTAAATCTAAAAGTGGCAAATAGTTAAAAGCCCCTATCTATTTAGGCAGGCTTGAATATATTGCTCCATTAATTGGTACAACTCTACTGCATTTTTGTATGGCTCATATTATTTGTCTCTAAGTTGCAGTAGCAGATATAAATCTCGAATTATTCCCTGCCATGTGGGGGCATGTACCTAGCATCGTGCAGCTGAACAGCAGACACCAATTGGTGGATTATCTATTTAGTTATTCCTTAATTGCGACCTGCTACTCATTCCAAAAAAAAAAATGAATTGCTACTCAATAATACTACTAGCTGCATCTTGTTTTTTTGTATCTTGGTCTAGTGAGCAGCTGATAGAAGCAAAATTTTCAGAGGAAACAATGTGATCTCTCTCTCATGTAAATCGTAGAAATCAAATTCTGACAGACTGAAATTAGAGTGAACCAGGAAACTATACAAGAATCATCCATCTGCTGGCACTCCATGCTAACTATGCTAGGCTGTCTTTATATCCAAAGTTTGGATCCAAACTTCAGTTCTTTTCCATCACATCCACCTGTCATATACATACAACTTTTCAGTCACATCATCTCCAATTTCAACCAAAATTTAAACTTTGGATCCAACTAAACACAGCCCTAGTAGTAAAATAATCAGTTAATTTGAGCAGAGATTCTGTTGAGTTGTTTCTTGGCATCGATAATCTCTAAAATAGTAAATGTAAAATTAGCTGCAAATTATTCAGTGACACTGTCGCTGTGACATAAAGCTCCCGCGTTAACTGTTCAGTGCATGGTCGGTGGTGTGTGGCGTCAGGCGTGAGCAACAGTATGCAAACAGGGAGGGAGATGAGACAGATCATCAAATCTCTGATCGATCTCTGACGATGAGTGATTGAACTTCCAGAAGCAGCTCCCAGGATGGTCCATGGTGAAGTCAGGCCAAACCGCAAAAGCCAGAAAGGAAGCCAGCATGAGAATATGCGTATCAGCTTATTAGCCATCGTCGAAATTTAAATTTTGAAATTTAATTTGAAGCTGATTTTAGGGTCTTTTGTTGTAATTTATTTTTTGGTATTAGCTTCTAAATCATTAAGAACATATCAATAAAAAAATTACCCACAAATTACTTTTAAGTCGCTCATAAGCCATTTACTGCTTATACCAGCCCTAGCTTAAGGAAATTGCTAGGATATTAGAAGCACTCCAATATTTGGGATCCCCTAATATTTATATTAGAGCCAGTTAATTTTGTTCGCTTTTCTATCAAAATTTAGTAGGGCCAATATTTTAGTAAGAGGTTAATCCAAATACCCCGTGTAAACCAATACCAAAACTTGTACGCATGCATTTCTCTCGTATTCTAGTGACAAGTTTGGCAGCAAACACAACACCTACCATACCAAAGACATCCATACATAAAACAAGACATGGGGAAAAAAATAAAGCAGGAACTGCAACTGTAAAAAAAAAAGGAAAATAAAAAGAAAATGAAGAACAAAGTAGATGAACAAGTCCAACAATGAAAAGAGAACTGAATAAAAACCAGAGTATAAAGAGGTACTAGAAGGAAAAATAGGACTTGATCGGCAGGGATTGCTGTTGTAGCAATTGAACTGCTTCAGCCAGCATAGAGAATTTCTTCCATCCTCTTCTCTCTCACTCTTCTTCTCTCTGGGGCTCCGGGCAGGACGGCGCCGCCGGCCGATGGGTGGGGAGGAAGCCGGTGACGGGGAAGCAAGGCAACCTCCTCTCTGTGCTCGCCGACGAGGAGGAGCGGCGGGCGACCGCGGCGGCGGAGCTGGAGCCACACGCGCGGCAGGCGGAGGTCAGTGAGCTCCTTCCAAGTCCAAATACGGCGATGAGGCGGGAGGAACGCGGCGAGAATAGCTGGAGTGAGACCAACGAGGCCCATCTCTCTAAAAAAGCCCATTACGGCCCACACAACAAAAGTAACAAGCCCATTACCGACCATCTCGCTAAAAAGCCCAACAAGCCCTATCTTGCTAAGAGGCCCACCTCTCTAAAATCATGGACCAACTTGCTAAAAAAAGCCCAAAAAAGGCCCATATACCTGCCCTTTCGTCTACCTCCAGTTCCTCTCTCTCTCTCTCCTCTCCTAAAACCCTCGCCTTTTTCTGAGACTCAGAGCGGCGGCGAGCGCCGGCCGGTCGCCGGCGGAGGAGTTGGTGTGGAGAGGGCGGGGAGATGGTTGTCCGGATCAGGCTGGCGCGGTTCGGCTGCCGGAACAGGCCCTTCTACCGGCTCATGGCCGCCGACAGCCGCTCCCCGCGCGACGGCAAGCACCTCGAGGTCCTCGGCTACTACGACCCGCTCCCCGGTACGGCACCCTCTCCTCCTTTGGCCTTGATTCTCCTCTTGCCGTGATCTTCTCTTCCGGAATCCTCATCCAGCGTCGTGTCTTCTTGGGGGGGAGAGCCACCTGCCTTGGAAATGTTGGGATGTTTGTAGTTCAATAATTGATGGTGTCTTGGGATGAATAGGGAGTTTGAAGGGTGTAATGTTAATTTGATGATAAGTGTGGTGATTCTATTTGGCTGTTTTGCAGGGAAGGATGGTGGCAAGAGAATGGGGTTAAAATTCGACCGGGTGAAGTGAGTATACTTTCAGTGTTTATCCTTGTTACAGTAACCGATCATAAACGAACACCATGGTTCATAGTCATGTCAGAACAATCTGAAATTGGGTTATTGTCAGCTCGTAATTTTCTTTTTTGTTGGTTTTCAATGAAGCAACTATCCAGCTAGTCATCGGTGTTAATGCCTGTAATTTTGTTGACAGCTTGAAGCATAGAAAGATCAAAGTGCAACTAATTTACTCATCCTTTGTTGCTACTAAAAATCTCAAATCAAGATCTACCTAAATATTGCCTTAGCCCTTTAGGATGAACGCATAATCTTCAATATCTAGAGTATTACTAGCAATAATTATTTTGACATAATGTAATTACAGTAGTTTCTACCAGTCTAAAAAAAATTCCAGTAGTTTCTGGTAAATAACAGACAGTTTTTTTTTATGCATGTCTTGTTGATTCTAAAAAATGGGGGTTTCATTCTCTATTTAGATTTTCTCATAGATTTATGCAGAAAGAAGCTGTTTTGTTACTTTTGTATGATGCAATTCCTTATATTTGCAAATTAAGCAACTTGGCATTAGTCATAGCAATGAGTGTGAAGTTTTTATTATCATTTTTATCCTATTGATGTCTGATAGCCATAGGGCCTGAATTCGATCTTTTGTGTTGTCTAATTGCTTAATTGACGCATTACCATTCGAGTGCATCCTTCAGCATTCTTCATTGACACTGTCCAAAGTTCATCATCTGCCACTATTGCCCTGGATCAGGTATTGGCTATCAGTTGGAGCACAGCCATCGGATCCTGTGGAGCGCATCCTCTACCGTGCTGGAATTCTACCTCCACCTCCAATGCTAGCTATGGCCCACAAGGGTGGGCCTCGCGACAGACGTCCTATTGATCCCATGACTGGGCGCCCCTTAGACCTTGAGGGTGTCACAGTTGTTGATGATTCTCATACTCCCAAGAGTGGTGATGGAGCACCTAACGAGGAGACAGCATAGATGAGGCATGATGATATATCTGTTTTAGCATATTGTGTGGTTTTGCAAGATTAAAAAGTACTGTTTGTGGCCTTTCTGATGGGTGTTTGAGCCTGTGACTAGTATGTTGTGACCTTTCTTGCTGACCGGCTTTATTGATCTATGCTCCTGTCATCTATTCTCAGGAACACGAACCTGGAAACATGAGTTGTTCTTTTTGATAAAATTTGTATGTTGTGTTCCAATGAATTTTACAAACTTGCATGCATTATATTTCTCTCGGTCTTTATTCACTTGTTGGCTTCTTCAAGGGACAAGGGTAGAGTAAGGCACAGGAAGAAGTTAGCAAGGGTTGTGCTGGGTATGTGCTAATATCTTAGGAGATCATTTTGTGTGTGATAGATCCTATAGTAGCAGAGTAGTTGCACGTATTTTCTCTGAAGCATAAAGTTCATTGTCCCTGGATGGTTATTCTTTATTTGTGATACCCAACTGGAAGCTATCCTTTATCCAATCTGTTAGGAAAGATGGTATGTTTATTTTCTGGATCTACAGCGGTAGAATTAGGCATATTTTTTGGATACCTAGTCTGTAGTTTTATACTGATGAATTTTTTTAGATTTGTATGCAGTATAATTAGATGTGAGAAATTGATACCTTTCTTGTAGTTCTTGCTTCTTACTAATGCATAGCCAAAATTGTCCCCTTGGAAGCACTGTTCAGGGATAATCATAGGATATTCTCACAAATAGGAGTGTGAGACTGGTACATAAATATTAAATTGCACTAGTTGATCTAATTTGAATGCCCTAACTTATTTCACACTGCATTGTATCATTTATCATTTATGTATACTTCACATAAAACATAGTATTTTAGGCTGTATAAATGGTATTTATATGGACAATGAGAATTGGTTAAGGCTGATGAAACAAAGCATATGTAGTCAACAGCTGAAGGTATACACACTCACCAAGTACAATAAAACTGTTAGTCATCTCCTAATTTCATTTTCACCTTTATCCCTTCCATTGTTACATAAGGTATATCTTCTCAATGAGGCCACCTCATACATGCAAAATGCAAAATGCTAAATCAATCTCACCAAGAAACCCTTTCTTTCACATCTCAAACAAACTCCAATCAGTTTAAAGTCTCCATCCATGTCTCAAATCTCTCAAATCATTTCCCTCCAAAACCAAGAACAGTGGCAAGTCTCTCTCATCTAGAGACTTTAGCTTAGCTAGCTAGGCTACACGCCATGGAAGCACCAAGAAGTTGGAGAGCTCCAGCGTGTGTGATCTTTGTGCTCGCACTAGTGGCGCAGTGGTGGAGCTCGTCAATGGCGGCGAGCTGTAGCTTCACGATATCCAACCACTGCGCCCAGACGATATGGCCGGCGACGCTGGCCGGCGCCGGCACGCCGCAGCTGGCCACGACGGGGTTCAGGCTCGACCCGGGGCAGAGCGTGCAGGTCCCGGCGCCGGCGGGGTGGTCCGGCCGGATATGGGCGCGCACCGGGTGCGACTTCTCCGGCGCCGGCGGCGCCGCCGCCGCCGCTGCCGCTGGCGCCGCCGCGTGCCAGACCGGCGACTGCGGCGGCCGCTTGGAGTGCGGCGGCACGGGCGCCACGCCGCCGGCGACGCTGTTCGAGGTCACGCTGGGGAAGGTCGGCGGCGGCGCCGGCGCCGGTGACCTGGACTACTACGACGTGAGCCTCGTCGACGGCTACAACCTCCCCGTCGTCGCCGTCCCGCAGGCCGGCGGCGCCACCGGCGGCGGCGGCGGCTGCGCCACCACCGGCTGCACGGCCGACCTCAACCGCTGTACGTGTCGCGCATCCATGCACGCGTGTCGTACGTGTTTGCGCTGACGTGAGCATATATCTGCAGCGTGTCCGAAGGAGTTGCAGGTGGACGGCGTCGACGGCGGCGGCGGCAGCGGGACGGTGGCGTGCCGGAGCGCGTGCGAGGCGTTCGGGGAGGAGGAGTACTGCTGCAGCGGCGCGTACGCGACGCCGGCGACGTGCCGGCCGACGGCGTACTCGGCCATCTTCAAGACGGCGTGCCCGCGCGCCTACAGCTACGCCTACGACGACGGCACGAGCACCTTCACCTGCAGCGCCGCCGCCTACACCATCGCCTTCTGCCTCCCTCCCACCGGGTAACCAACCCCAATTCATCAACCATTTATTTCTCTCTTTTCAACTACTTCCTCCGTTTCATATTATGAGACTTTATATGATTGCCCACATTCATGATTCATATATATGTTAATGAATCTAGACATATATATGTATCTAGATTTATTAACATTTATATGAATATGGACAATTCGAAAAAGTCTTATAATATAAAACGAAGGGAGTAGCTCGCATCTCAACACTCACATTCCGACGATCTTTTGCCCATGGTCTGCACAGGTCGAACACCTCCGGTGTCACTCCGCTGATTAGCTCGCCGTCGCCGGCCAATGGCCAGAACGGCGCCGGAGGCAGCACACCTCCTCCGGCTGGCAACAATGGCGCCGGGATAATCAGCTACCAGCCGCCTCCGACGGAGGACATCAATGGTGCCGGGAGCGCCGATCAGCCGGCGTGGATGACGATGCCGTCGTCGGCGAGCAAGCGGATGATGCCGTCATCGTCGGCGGCGAGCACGCGGCACAACCAGCTGTGGTCTCTGCTGCTGCTGCTACCTGCATTGCTCTTGTTCCATTTCAAGCAAGAGTTATTGTAGGATTTTCTGACACTGACAATAGTAATCAGAAGTTCAGAACTCCTCGTGTATGTATAGCAGTTGTAAAACTTGCTTACAAATTACTCCTAGATGTTTCTCCCACTGCTAACTTAATTAACAAGTGGGGAAGAAATTATGTAGATAGATTACAAGAAATGAAAAATATAGCACATATTTGTGAAAAAAAAATTGCTCCCTAACTGTTTCAGCGGAGATCGATGATTTGCCACTGTGTATGCTCTCATCGTCGCAGCTAATTTTTTTTATTTTTTAAACTTGTTTTTAAAGCTGATCTTGTGATTTTTCATCATAGTCTATTTTCCGAATTTAGTGTAATCTACCATTGTATTTTAGACCGTTCATAATATAAATATAAAAGTTTTCCCTATAAATTACTATGATCGTTTTTTTCATATTTCTACCGCTTACCGGTTGTAGCTCAACCAATCTTAGGCTATGTCATGCGGCCCGATCTTATGAGTAGCTACTGTTTGAGATAATTCTGTTATTGAAGAAAACTATAAAAACGCAAAGAATCGGCCATACTTCACTTGACAAGTTAAAAAAAATCAAATCATCAGCTATGTTATAGATTTATATAGTATATATAGGATCATCTGTTACATGTAATCTACAGTCATGAGGGGACAATGATCGGAGCTGGAGGCACAGATTTCTCCAGCGGCGAGCATTCCCAGCTGCCGTTCTTGTCCTGAGACAGCGAGAAATGCTTGGGAATCCAGACCTCTCCCTTGTCGTTCCTCTCTCTGTCTAGCCTCCTCGCCGTGTCCTCCACTCGTCGCTTCGCCTGACTAGATCTCTCCCAGTCTTTCTTCAGGATGGCATCGCTCACCTCGCCCCAAACCACCACAGATTCTGAAGGTGACACGCCCTGAAACACAATCATGACAAATTCAGTATTGGTCACTGATTTTCTGCTTAGTTTGTAGGTTAAAGTTTTGTTGAACGACTGAAAATGAAATCAGTTAGACTGAATTTTATCTACATGGCCAAAGTTCAGAGTTCTTGTGAACATAATTGGTAGGGTAACAATGGTCAGTGAGGTTTTCATAAGTTAGTACATCTTTGGTTCCTAATTCAGTGATATTTTTTTCTTTTTTCCTGCTTAGTTTGTACGTTGCAGTTGTTGAATTGAATCATATGTGGACTTAGTCTGAATTTTATCTCTGGGATACTGCCATCTGAACTTGCAGCATGAAAAAATGCACAAAGTTCAGATTTCTTGTGAGCACAAATTGTCAGAAAGAAGTTACCTCTTGGTTTCTGACCACAGGTGTCTTGAGGTCAGCAATGGCGGATTCAGCATCGTACAGAACCGACACCTTCCCGGTCTTCGCATCCTTCGCCGACACGATCCGATCCCAATGTCCATCAATCTCGCAGATGATCTCTCCTGATCTTGAGCTGAATATCTTACCCTTAACACATCTTGGATCGCCACCTAGTCCCAGGAAAGCGTTGCTCCTGTAGTAGATCAACTCTGCTTCGAGCTCGGACTCCTTGCAGACGATCCTGACTGTCCCAGACCACTCCGCTGATGGAGCAGGCAGCAACCTGATGAGCAGGTTTGGGCAGTCGATCTCGTAATTCTCGCTGAATTTCAGAAGCTTGACGTGCCTCATGCCTTTCACTGTCGCTTCCACGCTTGTGCCTTCAGAAATGAGCAGGAAATGGAGTAGAATTTCAGACTCTGAAACTTGGAAATTGATGGGCAGGAAATGGAGTAGAATTTCATTCTGAATCTGGCCTACGTACCGTGGAATTTCGGGATTGGGTTTTGGCACCAGACGAGCTCGATCTCACCGTCATCGTCAGTGGCATGCAGTGCAGAGACCGGAGGACGATGAGACACCTGAAAAAGACCACAATTTTCTGTCAGAGATTCAGAAACAAATCATCTGTAAATTTCACAAAACTACAGATACATGGCTACATATTTTAACACCAAATTTATCGCGAAACTACAAATTTAACGCATGACATTGTGATGAATCACCTGCTCGAGAAGAACATGGAGTGATCCGCTGGAGACATGGTGGGTCTCTCCAAGAACGGGGTTGTACGGCGCGAAGCCGAAGATGGGAGGCCTCGTCGTCGAGATGCTCCAGCCGACGACCGCCGCGAACCGCTCGACGGCGTCGCTCCCCTTCGCGCACCGCCGCAGGTAGTCTTTTCCGACGCAGTACACTCCCTCGCCGTATAACTGGAGCTGCGACTTCGGCAGGTTGAACGTAGCAGGCAGCTGATGATGACAAAAATTCAGACAAATTCAGATGAAAAAATTCAGTCAAATTAACGTCATTTTGACTGCGAAATTACTGCTAGACAGTGACTGATTAGATGATAGTAATTGATTAGGCTAGGTGCCAGGAAACTGAAAGTGTTGACCACATTAGTTAACATTTATCCCCTACTGAGAAACCGAAAGCTGTCAAACTAAGCAATCACGAATCCACATCCGAAATTTGAGTTCCTTTTGTTGAAAAACAGGCGTGCCCCCATGGACTATGCCGTTCATCATGCTTACATATGCAACTACGCAAGTAGCAATACTATTCAACTCTTGAAGCTTGTGTTGATTTTATTTTTTGAAAAGTCAGCTTGTTTTTTTGTTCGCTCAACACCTACTACTCCTCATTTCCCACAAACAAAGACTAATCCACATGATTAATTAGTAGAGCAGTATTATGTGAAAGCTCCTGATTTGAAATACAAATATATAGGCACAACTTTTATGCACCAAATATAGTTGTATTATTACTAACCGTCGTTAGCCAAAATATTCAAAGTTCATTTGACTTTCTCGAAATCAAAATACTCCTTATAAAAGTGAGCAAGGAAGTGTTGTTCAACTATTGAAGCTTGTTTTGTTTTCTCTTAAAAGTATTGAAGCTTGTTCTCTTGGTTTACTCAACACCTACTACTACTCCTCATATCCCACAAGCAAAAACTAATCCTCATGATTAATTAGTGGAGTAGAGTACACTACTCCACTAGCTAGTCACTCCCTCCCCAAAATCATTGCTGATTTCAGGGTGATATAATGCTCCTGACCTGAAGTGATTAGATTAACTAGTAGTAAATCCAAATTTAAACACTCTCGAGATTGGAGTTTCAAATGCATGCACACAATTAATCACACAATGCTATGCCTAGCTAGGATCAAGAATGGCTAGCAGCTGAGCTGGGGATCAGTTTCAGTTTGATGATTTGGTACCTGAAAGTGAGAGAGATCGGAGCCGGGTCGGACGTTGCGGAAGAGGCTGAGCACGCGCTGCACGAGGTTCGCCGGCCGGAGCTCCGCCGCGAGGCCGCCCTCCAGGGACAGCGGCGCCGTCAGCACCGCCGCCGCCGTCGCCGCCGCCGCCTCGCTCCCCGACTCAACCTGCATCAGCATCGATTGGCGAGAGCTGGACGGTGAGGTTTTTGTTCGTCTCGTCGTCAGTCACGGGCTCAGAAAATGACCAAGCAACCCCAGTTGCATGCTTCGATGCAAAATATGATATTAATACAAAAGAGTAATTAATCTACAGTAGTAATTTTGTCAGACAGAGACGAGTAAAACTATGGGAGAGTTTCAGATCGATCGAAGCAAACAGAGGAAAACGAAAGGCTGGCACAAGAGAACAACAGCAACAGAGAACCAGAAAAATGCAAGGAGACGAATTAAATCACACAAGTGAAAAAAAAATATGCTGCTACTACTACCTTAATTATTATTGTACGTAGTGTCGCAGTCAGATAACCAATTAAGAACAAGAACAAGCGATGCTGCGTGTGAAACTTCCAATTTCCAAATCGGCAACGCGAAGAAATGAGCTAAATTACAACGAACGGGAGGTAGTGGGAGGGGAGAAAAGGACGCGAAACGTCTGACCAACTGACCAAGATCGAATTTTTCTGTACAACACGACGTAGTATAATATTCCCATTATTATTAGCAGTAGGTGACAGAATATGTTTATCTGAACTTTTTAATTGTTTTTTTTCTTTCGGTACTATATATGTAGACGTGTGATTTTAGAAAACGATGAGAGGAAAGGAATCTAAGAGGTAGCTGAAGGTGTCGCCGGCCAATTGGCGAGAACGACGACTCGATTATAAATCAAATTATCAACAAGGGTGGAGAAGAGGTCAGCGATGCAATGGCCGGCCAATCGGGCCAAGAAAAACAAGGAGGGGAAAAAGAAATATATTCCGTTTTGGAGTGTGGATCGAGGCCGACATGTATGTATGCGTAGTTGCGTACGCCTGGTTTCTTTTCTGCAACGAAAAGCAAATTAACCGATGCCTCTTTTTTCTTCTTCTTCTTTCAGAATGGATATATTCGTGTAAGCTTTCGATCTGTAGCCGTCATGTGCTATCTTGTGTGGTTGACGGTGAGAAAAATGGAGAGCTTGCAGTAAGAGAGGTCGGTCGATTCGAATGCAATTTTTTAACGTGGGTCGCTGACATATGGACCTGATGAGTTATGAAGTTTGAGAATATGTTTTTTTTCAATGCATTTGCATGTCAAGAGATTTGAAAGTAACGAAGGCCAAAAGCGAGAACGGAAAGGGAGACGGAAGAGAGAGGGCATGCAAATTGCAAAAAGCAGGGAGAAAGAAAAGAAAGAATCGATAGATGGAGCTAGCTAGTGCCAAGTGGCGTGGCAGGCATATGCATGTCGATCGGCGTCGCCGTCGTCGAAAGAACCATCGATCGGAATCTCATCGAAGGCCGCCGCCGCGCGACCACGGCGGCGCGTGGCCGGACGGCGGCGAATTCATCGCCGAAAGATAGATAGAGCATATATATATATATATATATATGCGCATTTGGATGAACACACGTACCATTGGATATGTCGGATCGGCGACGCCGATCGATCGATCTCTCGCCGGCAGGGCTATCGGCGGTCGCCTCCGACTCCGACCAGCTCGGCGGCGGCCGGAACAGCGCGCGCGGGAGCTAGCGGGCGGAAGGGTCTCGCCGGGATGAAATAATTCCCGGCAGCTAATCTGGTTGGTTTAGCGGCGAGGAGGGCAACGTAATCCTCCTCCTCCCCCTTCCTTAATTAATTTTGGCTGATTGCTAAACTGCTATATTTTGTCGCGCGCGTGTCGTCGCTCGCCTCCGCTCCTTTCCTTTCCTTCCGTCTCGGGGTGGTGCCTCATTTTTATACGCGCGTACGCCCGCTTTCCCTGCCACGCCGACGCCCATGCCCGCGTCACGCCTAGTGGATCTTGCTGCTGCGGGCTGCTTTGCCAATTGCCCACACGCCCCGCGCGTTTCGTGTGCGCCGCGCGCCGCCGCGCGTGAGCGCCTGTACACACACCACCACCGCGTGCATAGGATTCAGGAGGGCTATAATCTTTCGTCCTCTATCTCGATCAGAGCAGGTTTAGGCCTTTGTCCGGAATACGTGATTGGAAAAATGAAGGAATGAGAAAAACAAAGGAATTTGATAGGAACGCGTAGATAAAACAGAGGATCTGATGATATAGGAATTTTGTGGGACGGTCTTGGCAGTTGCGGGAGGAGCGAAACGCTAGGGTTTTCGACTCTGAGCTCTCTTCTATCTCAGTGGTTCTGGAGTTGATCCACTCGGAGGTCTGTCTATGATCGTTAGCTGGCGTTGCCGCTTTTGGGGACTTGTTGGGAGTATAGCGTGGCTCAGTCCCTTCCCGATGTTTAGAGTTTTGTTTTAGCCGCCATAGTTTTTTCTAAGCTTCAGTTTTTTTTTCTTTTTTTTTGCTTTTCCTCCTTTCCCCTGGCATAGGCCGGTCTTGTTGATTACGTGGTGTAACTATAACTCTTTTCTTTTAATATATTGACGTGCAATTCTTTTGCGCATTCGAAAAAAAATTGTGGGATGGGCGTTTGGATGGTTGAAAAAACATAAGAATGGTTTTTGAAGGAATGCAACATAAATAACCGACAAACAAATTTAAAACCAGCTGACAACTGGGCCCTAGCACTGTCACATGGTCAGTGAGCAAAGAAAGAAGATTGATCTCGTCGGTGGTGTGGTGCATAGAATTTTTCACATGAGATTTGGGCAGATTTTTTTTCCCTTGGTTGTCCTCCAGGGACAGTGAGTCAGTGACAAATGAAATATTCCTTCATTTTTTTTAGATAATGCCCAAAACTTCCTTCATTTATCTTATGACCGTTTTGAGCCACCAAATGGGAGGAAAGGAAAAGTTTTCTGTCAACAGTCTCTCATGAGAATCCTTTCAAAACCCCTCAATCTGAATGAGCCCTTAATAGTGGAGCTAACTCCTAACTAGGAATTTTTTAAAGTACACATGTGAATGTTAGCCGTTCATAAGATAGGATAATAAGGAGGAGATTGATTTCTACTAAGGGGGTAACGAGTGTACTAGGTGTAGTAGAGGGGCAACTCTGAAAAAAAAAAGGAATTCATGATACTATTGTAATTTTACAGTTAACAGAGGGTGTAATCCACAATTTATTCATTCCGGGGGCAATAACCCTAGCAGCCTAGCCCAAACGGTTCAAGGCGGCTGTAGAGGTTTATGTCGATGCGTCACCGAGATGTGGAGGCAGAGATCACTCCCTGTCCCTGGTCGTTACCGCCCTCTTCATCGAGCAGAGCCCAAGACATAGAAATTAATCACTGTTTTTCAATCCACAGCGCTGCCTGCCCCTGCCTTTGTCCAGCCTAGCTCGCTCGTCTCCTCCCCACCACCAAAAAAATTCCAGCAAAATTATAGGCCTGTCTCCAACACAGACGCGACGTCTACGAGTTTGTGGGCGGCGCTATGGCTGCATCAACAAAGCTGGTCGTGTAGAACTATTGGGGAGGGGCACAGGCACAACGGACGTCATCCGGAACCGCAACACCCTACCCCAGGAGCAAAAATGTATGGTTAAATAATTTTGGAACAATTTGATTTGGTTGTATTAAAAGGTTGAAGAGTTTGTCGTAGAGCTGCCGACTGTGGTGGTGTATCGAGAAGAGATTAAAATTTGAGTTGATTGCATGTTGCACTTTTTTCTTCTCATGTGTGTCATGAAAATAGTAGAATTAGCTATAAGATTAGAGCAAGTTTAATAGTATAGCCCACTACTAGCTCCAATTCATTTATAGCTAATTCATATAATAGTTACTTACTATACGATCCCACCTGTCATACACACATTGCGTCTTGGAGTCCGCGCTGCAGCTGGCTACAGATCTGTAGTCCGCTGCTCTTCTCTCTCTTCCTTTATCTCTTTAAAATATGTTTATAGCTGGCTTATAGTATACTATTGTACCTGCTCTTATTGTCTGTGATTTTCTTTTCCTCTTTCTTTCTCTCATGTAATTAATGCATGTATCTATCTAGTAGCATGTGTAGAGCATATAATTTTTCAATCACTCAAAGTCTCCCTCTGAGATCAATGCCAGGGATCGACAAAATTCCACAAGATCGCGTCTCTTTGATATTGCCCATCCCTTTTTGACTGTCCTTGCTAATCTAAAGCTTAGATTAGATAGACACCTAAATTTTGTGCTACGCCACAAGAGATCAGCCCAAGTTGGATTAAATTAAGCATACTACTACCTTACACCATATGCTTTTATTATTCGTTGAATTAAGTACACGCTCTTGGACTCATTCGGCACGAGCCACACGACGCTGATCACAAAAAAGTGTCCATTTGATTTTAGGCTGGATTTAATATATTCCATTGTCCAACTATTTTTGCTAGATATTTATCAATAAATTTTCTTCTAAAATTGAACAGATATAAAATACAGTACAATGACAATGTAATTATATTATGACTCATATGCAACTGCAGTGTAATTTATATATTATTACTACAATGTAATTTTGAGCCGTTCGCTTTGCTTTAAAATATACCGCTATAAGTGTAATTTGATTTGGAGAGTGTTGTTCATGGTTCAGCTCAATCGCATTGCCAAATTTGCGTGCTCTCTCTTTTCAGCGTCAGCGTGTACGTGTTGTACAGATCCCCTGCAAAAGGCGCGTCTTTTGTCCTGTCACTGCTAGAGCTAAAGCTAGCTGCTGCGTAATTGCCGGCGTTAATTGTCGCCGGCGACGGAAGCGAAACATATCCTCCAGTTTTGCAATGCACGGCACGTCGCCTCCGTTGGAAGCAACGGTTGCTCACCACTCACCTGGGATGATGCGAGGACGCCAAGGAGAAGAAGCAAAGCACCAAATTTGAGAGTTTGGCCCTTCAAAAAAAAACTTATTTAAATAATAGGCCAATGCCTAAACTTAAAATGAAAAACTACCCACAGCCTCACCCCTGATAGTGCTAATATCCAATATCTCAACGCCGGGTGTTTTGGCGCCGACCTACCACCGCCGTGACGCTATATGCAGGCTTTTTTAAACTAATCAGGTAGAAAAAGTACAAATTATATATGTCAATAAGAAAAAGTAAAAACCAAGATAGTTATGAGAAAAAATGAGAACACCTAGCTTCTTCACGAGGAAAACTCACCAAACACCTCAAACAATAACCAAACTTACAGCATTAGCTCGCGGGGATCCGATGCCGCGCTGAAAGAAGGGGATAGAGAGAGAAAATAGATAAGAGAGTTAACATATGGGTCTAAGGGCATTTCTGACATTTCACGTGGTTTATCTCTTCTTCAACCAGAAATTGTTATTTTAATGGGTGAGGTGTCCAGCAGTAAATATCCAACTTTGAGAGTGTATTCCCTTAAAAGTCACTTAGTACAGTGTCCTATAACTAAAACGCAAAGTCACAATACCCTGCAGCAAAATTTGTCTTACTGTAAATCTATAATTTGTGATACAATATTTTAAATCTATAGTTTCGTAATAAATTTTGCACTAAATATGTAGTTTTATGATACACATTCTTAAATATGTAGTTTTCTGATAGTTTGGTAAAAGTAGTGAAATTTACCTTTTTTTTATAGAGGAAAACTAGTTGTTTCCATTAACCCATAGTTTCAACAGAATCGCCGATAACCAAGACCTCCACACCCGGAGGTGAACCGTCCCAACTGAGAACAGAGTTTTGGGGACTGTTACAGCCAAACGATGCTATAGCATCTGCCAATTTATTATATTCACGGGGACAAATAGCTAACTCGAAAAGAAATAAAAGTCGAAGCTATAATCTTCTTCGCTCCCAGGACAAGACCCCCATCGCTGCAAATTGTAGATTACCTTCCTTCAGAGCTTGAACCAGCATCAGTGAGTCGGACTCCAGCTAGATGTGCACCATACGCCTGTGAGCTGCCGCTTCTACTCCCTTCAACGCGGCCAAAACTTCAGCGTGCAAGTTTACGTTTTATTTCAAAATAAGTTGGGAACAAGTTTTTTTTTTTTTCAAAAAAGAGATGATCGTCAAAATTTGGGAAGCCGAAAGTCCATGGCGGCCCACCTCGAACCACTCCGGAGCTGGGCCCAAACCCCCGGCGTCCTCCGGCCCATCTCAGCCTCTCGCCGCCCCCCGGCGAGGCGATCCTTATCCACCACCGTTTCGCGTCGCGTCGGCACCAGCGAAGAAGGGGACACGCGACGCGACCCCGCGGCCACCGATCCGGCGGAGGCGGGGCATTCCCGGCGGCCAGATCCGCGGCGGCGCCGAGGATGACGGGAGGGGGAGGGGGTGGAGGAGGCACGGCGGCGCAGGCGTACGGGGAGGCGTGGTACTGGGACGAGCGGTACAGGAAGGAGGCCGGCCCGTTCGACTGGTACCAGAAGTACCCCGCCCTCGCGCCGCTGCTCGCCGTCTACGTCCGCCGCCACCACCGCCTCCTCCTCGCCGGCTGCGGCAACTCCGGTTAGTGCACTGCCACACTACTCCCCTGAGCCCCTCTGATTATATCATACATCCCCCTCCCCTCCGCCGCTACTAGATCGAGGGCTCTTTGATTGGTGTCTCGTCCATTTCCTGGGATTTCCGCGCGGGATTGCTGGTGGGATGAAATCAGACTCAGGTTTCGTGTGATTTCGACATGGGTTGGGATTCCTGAAAGGATTACTGTTTGGATCAGGCCCGGGCGAAAATTGTTGTTTGAATCAGCGCCATAGTGCAACGCAGGCCGCCGTTTTCTTGTTTGGATCAGCGCGGAGTGTAATGCAGCTAGACATTTTCTATGGATCCTTGGAATTTCTTGGTTTGTTCAATGCTGCTCCTAGAAATTAAGGCTATGATTAAACTGCATCCGTTCGACATTAGGGTTCATATGCTTGAAGAAATGCATTACAATCGAAGAACTTGCCATTTTGGCACATCGTGACAACATGGGTGCGATCGATGGGTTTAGAGTGGCATGGCCTGTCAATTTGTCGAAATACCTGCTGAATTTGATCGGTCTGTCTAGAACCATGTGCGGAATGCGGTGCATTATGGTCCCCTGTCCTTTGTCAACATTGCATTGTCCAGCTAAAAATGCACATAGCACAAAATGATGGACAGCACTGTGTATAGGCTCTGGTTAGTGCCACAGCATATGAAAATGCACTTGCAGCAAGACAGGTCCACCTTGTACTATAAAGTGACAAAGAAAGCTAGCAATTTGAATCAACAAACCTTCATTACTGTCAATATGGAAAACTTTTTTGAGTGGCAATAGGGAAATTCATGTACTACATTCCTTCATAAGCAAAACTGTGATAGTATTTTGATCATAATATTGGTCTTTTATACAGAAAAGACCCCCTGTTTGATTTATACTATTATCTGACTTAAATAACATATGACAATGGTTTGAGGTGGAGTTTAAATAACAGATGAAAATCGAGGAATGCCATCGATGATCTTCAACATCTTGAACTACATGACCATCTAAATTCTCTATTTTAAGTTATTAATTGTATTGCTGATAGTTGGGGACTGAGATATTTCTCAATTTCAGTCATTAATCTCAAAAAACAATTATGTATAGAACTCCAAAGTTCTGTATATTACTCTGCATTCCTGCCTAGTGGATTTTTCTATTTTAAGTTGGCATTTCTTGTTTAAATAATCTGCCTTTAAACACTGAACAGTTTTTGGTGAAAACATGGTTGATGATGGTTATCAAGACATCGTCAACATAGATATATCATCAGTGGTGATTGATCAAATGAAGAAGAAATATCGTGACAAGCCTCACCTTAAATGTATACTCTTCGTCCCCAGCCTTTTTTTGCTGAATCCCTTAGTGAGTGTAATAGTTTATCTTGTCATGTGGTACTATTTATTTCCTACCTTACACAGACATGAAGATGGATGTAAGGAACATGGCTGAATTCGAGTCAGGTTCATTCGATGCTGTTATTGACAAAGGTACCATAGTAAATATAGTGGTTACAGTCTTACCAGGAGCATTTGCTATGTGCATATGCAACATGTCATTGGGTTCTAACCCCATCTGTTGTTTGCAGGAACGCTAGATTCTATAATGGTGAGCCCATTTTTGCCAGTGTACAACATACTCAAATTTTCTTCCTTCATGGTACTCAGATTTGCATTTCTTGTATTGCAGTGTGGCCAAAATTCACAAGAGAATGCGTCTCAGATGCTAGAGGAGGTCAATAGGTAAATCACGCACTTTATTTGTTTGTGAAATCTCCGTTTAACTTACTATAGCTTCTATTTCTTTCTTCTATCTACAGAATTCTCAAGGACAAGGGAGTTTATATTCTGGTAAAGGAACTATATTATTTGTTTACACAAGCATGCTGTTCTTTTATAGTGTCTAGAACTTAACTTTGGATCCCACAATGTTGCAGATCACTTATGGCGACCCAAGTTATCGATTGCGTCTCCTTAAAGACCTGCAGCTTTGGACAGTAAAGCTTCATGTCATAGGTTAGTAAGTTTTTTTCCGTGAGATCAGCTAAACCATTTGTCCATTCATTGGTACTTCAAAATTGTCAAGCTATAAAGGGCAATTGGTATCGCCATTAGTGTGCGGAGTAAACATTTTACCTGCCACTCATTATAGTTGTGCTAAAACACATTTAATTTACACTCTTGAATTGACACTCTCGACATCCCAGATAGATGGGAAAGGAGTCGGGAGCCTTCATGGGAACTGACGAAGCCACTGCCTTTAGATGGTGATAGCACATCAATTGTTAGTCTTCTTGGCCCAAAACCTGATGTTCACTATATTTATGTCTGTATAAAGGTTAGCCATCTACTTTCTTACCAGAATCATCTCAACTTCTTTGTTGAACTCTTCTTTATTCCGTTTAATGGACGAATCATTGCAGGGCAGCGACGACGGGAAGTCGCATTTGGATTCGAGGGCTGAAGTCAATGGAGAAGCATAGTGATTTCACCTCATAACCCTTTTGGATCATCTTGTATAACCAGTGTAGGAATAATGTAGTGCAGATACTGTATAATTATGCTGTTGCTTGATGAATCACTTGGTTTTATTGGCAGTAGTTAATTTGATTTTTCACATATGCCTTATCATGTTTCATGTGCTCCCTAGTAGAAAATGCGACATATTGAGTCCATACAGCTGATCCCATCAAAATTATGGTTTGAAACTGATTTTGTTTGAATTTGCCTTTGCCTTTTGGATTAGCGGGACAGAAACCTTTTGAGGAAAATAGTAGAGATATAGACAAGGTTGTGGTCTCTGGCACGGAAAACAAGGTAAGTCATCCGCGCATGATTAATTACCTCCGTTCTAAAATATAAGAGATTTTGGATGAATGATATACATTATAGTTCTAAGAATGTACACAAAAGTCTACCTAGTTTCTTAGTACTAGGATGTATCCTATCTATCTATAATCGCTTATATTTTGAGATGAAGGGAGTGATAGCTTAAAAACTTAAAAATGGACAAATATGATTTTTTTAAAGCAATTTTTGTATAGTTTTTTTTTTTTGCAAAATATACATCGTCGAGTATTTCAGGGGTGAGCGCACGAAAAATAAGGTAGTAGAAGTTGGGAAAACATAGTGTCGAATTTTAGTCTATGGAAGCTTCATATTCTGAGAATAAGCTAGGTAGCTAGGCCCCGTTCTTTTCTCACGAAGATAAAGATTTTATCTTGGTTTCCATTAGCACGCTTTTCAAAGTACAAAATGACGTGTTTTGTGTAAAACCTTTCTATATGAAAGTTGTTTTAAAATATCAAATATATTCAATTTTCTAGTTTGTACAATAATTAAAACTTAATTAATTGGCTTTCTCGTTTTGTGTGCCCCGCTTTTAATATTCATCTTCAAAAGATTCGAACGGGGCCTAGTGGCCGTTTGGGGAGAATCAACTTCTAGCTACTGGATTCTGCGGTAAAAATTCTCACATTCTCAAATTCTGTGGTAAAACTTCTCAGGTTCTCAAGATTTTAGCAGAAACGGTAGCTGGGTGAGATCTCCAAACATGGCTCAAATCACCCGTAAACGACAACCTTAATTACTTCTCAAATTTTATCATGTTAATAGCAAGAAGAAGAGAAAAAAAGAAACGAACAAATGACCTAAACAGCCACCTTTTCCACCCCCAAGTAATAGTAACAAGAAGAAAGCATGATACCCATCCAGATCAAATCCGACGGCCCAGGATACGCCACGTCACCCCCGGGCCCACCCCCCGCACACACCCTCGCACAAAAATCCTAGACCAAAGCCCCTTTCTCCTCCACCCTCCGTAGCCGCCTTCCGCCGCGACTTTCTCTCTCCTCCTCCTCACCGTCGTCCGGCGGCGCCGCCTCTCCTCTCCGCCCCTCCCGTCCAATGGAGGCTCTCGCCGGCACCGCCGCCGCCTCCCTGCCGGCCTTGCCTTCCCACCAGCCGCGGTCCCGCCTGGCCCCGCGGTCACTCGCCCTTCCCGGCGGCCGCTCGTGCTGCGGGCCCCTCCGCGCCGCCGCAGCCGGTGGCGGAGGCGGCGCCAAGGACGACGCGCAGGCTGGCGTCACGCCCAACGGGTCTCCCGTTATCAAGGTAACGCCGGCCGCCTCGCGTGCGGTGGAGCGAGGAGAGATAAAGGCGAAGGGTTTTATGGTTGGGTATTAGTGTGCTGTGTGAGACTGTGAGTTGATGGGGGTGGTAATACGGATTGGTTGAATCCGGAAAGAGGTTGGCTGTATTAATTGTGTGTAGGGAGTTCAGTTCGATGCTGGATTGGATGCGAGGTGTGTGTGTGGGCGTGCTTGGATAGTTCTATGTTGTCCTTACCGAGGTGTAAATTTCGGTGCTTGATGCGTTTGAAATAGGCTGAGCTGGTTTACCAGATGGTGTGAAAAGATGATTCTTTTGTAGCAAGCATTTTGGAAGCTACCAAATGATAAAGTTAGTTAGGAATCGTGTGTCTGGGTTAGTGTTGATAGTATTTATCGTCATGTTGTTAAGAGAACAAAACTGATGGAGTTAACTCATTTTAGTTACACAAATCTGCATTGTGATCTGATATTTACATGACTGATTCCTACTACGCAACAGCCGAAGAGTGACTCGGCTCTTTCGAGTCAGAATGGAGTTCTTGGATCAACCAAAACTGACAAGCCACACACGACCTTATCAACGCATACTACCACTGACTCGAGTGGATCCAGAGCTGGCTTGTTTAGAACACCTATATCTGGTGGTGTGCAGAGTGCGACTTTTGCCCATGGTCTACCTCCGCCGGCATTGGCTGTTCGCAACTTGATGGAACAGGTAGCTCCTGTTAGTTAGCCCCTTGAGATTCTTTTGAGTCTACTGAATGTGGTCTCCAATTCTCGCCTCATTTGTATGACTGTACTTGGCAGGCGCGGTTTGCTCATCTGTGCACTGTCATGTCTGGCATGCATCATCGGCGTACTGGATACCCATTTGGTTCGCTTGTTGATTTTTCTAATGACTCGATGGGCCGTAAGTTAGCTAATTGATTATTTTTTGGACAAAAGCAATGCAGTCCATTAGGTCCCCATAAGTAATTATTTGGTTGATGCATTGTACAGATCCAATATTTTCACTATCACCGTTAGCAATACACACAAGGAACTTGCTCTCTGACCCAAGATGCACACTTGTTGTCCAGGTATGGAGCTACCTGATATGTTTTACTGGGGCAGCATAGAGGTTCCTTATTGTTATAATAGCATGTGATCCTTCTCCACAGGTACCTGGATGGAGTGGACTGTCAAATGCACGTGTCACAATATTTGGTGATGTATATCCTTTGCCAGAAGATCAACAGGTTTATATAGAGCTGCCCTTTGTTGTTTATATTACAGTCAGCTAGGAAATTACTTTTCTGTTTGTCACTGCCCAATTAGAATTAAAGCGCTAGGTCGTACGGTGATGCTACTATTGTGTGAAAGCCATATGTGTACTGAGATATCACGATAAAATTTTCCAAGCTAACAACTTTTCTGAAGTTAGCCTGCACTACTGTCATGGCATGGGCTTAAATAAAATAGTTTCTTTCTCATTGCTGTTACAGAAAAAAAAATTGGAATGTATGGCCTGTCTTTAATAGTGAATTCAGAGAAAAAAAACTTATTCTTTTTTTAGTGATTTTAAATATTTCATAAACTGACCTGAATTACATGCATTCCTCAGGAGTGGGCACATAAGCAGTATGTTGCAAAACATCAACAATGGGCATCTCAACAGTGGGGAAATTTTTACTATTACAGGATGCAGAACATAAGGTCTGGACTTATTAATCTTGTATTTCATTTTGCCTAATCTATTTACGATTTGAAATTTTACCCTTGAACATCTACAATTTTTTTGCTGGAAAGCATTATTGCTTGACATAGATGCCTGTGAAATTATGATTTGTGACAATCTATCTTCAATAAGTACAGCGACATATACTTCATTGGAGGCTTTGGCACTGTTGCATGGGTAGATGTCAAGGAGTATGAAGCTATTCAACCCGACAAGATAGCAGTTGATGGTGGTGAACAAAGCTTAAAGGTTTAGATATTCAATCTGGCAACCATATGCATTATAAATATCCTGTTTATGTATGATATTATCAGCAGATCAACAAGGTCGTTAGGTTATGTGCAAATGCGTACAGATGCGTGATTCAGTAATGCCTTAAAATCTAGCTGCTTCTGATTGTGATTAATGCTCTACATATAGGAGCTGAATGCAATTTTCTCGAAGCCACTTAGAGAGTTCTTGTCATCAGAAGGGGAGGTTGATGATGCTGCACTTATATCAGTAGACAGCAAAGGGATAGATATAAGGGTTCGCCAGGGTGCACAGGTAAAATACAAAAAGTCTACAGTCACTATCAAGGCTATTTTCTTTGAGGCAGGAAATTTCTTTTTCTAGATCCTCCATTTACAATTTTTTTTTCTCTGCAGTTCAACATTCAGAGGCTGGCATTTGATGTACCTCACAAGGTGGAGACACTAGAGGAAGCCAAGAGAGCACTCCACAAGATAATCAAGACAACCAGCAAATAAAGTCTTCAAAAGAAAAGTGAGATTGCAAATGCTGGCAATTTCCACTCTCCTGCAACTGTTTTGTGACCCGATAAAAAGTATTTTAAGCATCATGTAATGTAGCAATAAGTGATGTTTATCAGTTTAATAATGACTTACTTGAGAATTAACATCCTGTGGTTAGAATTCTAGGTGTTTGCAAGAATGTGTATGCTCTCATGCTGCTAGAGCAGCAATGGCCTTGAGGCTTTTTTGTGGAAGCTAGATGCTTTGTATCGGTGGACCTAATGGTTGATGCCCTCATATTGGGATGCAATTTTGACCGTTAAGCATCAACATGGCTCATTTTTCTGTATCCATGCTGTTACATAACAGTGTTGATTCATTGACATGTGGGCCCACTTTTAATATGGCTCATAAGTCAGTTGGACAACTGTAAACAGCACAAAGTTAAGAGTCTCATCCCAGGGGGGCATGATTGAGATGAGAAGAATCCATTACTTGTGTGTGAATCAAACCACACGAATGAAGTAGCCACATGCTGTGTGATAGTACAATACAACCCTATCATTCAGCTATGCACCCAACTTAACATGCCACACAGTAGGCATCGTACATCTCTTTTGGTCATGTGTTTGGTACTGCTTGTCGCACTTTCTTAACACCTTGTCTATATGTCGCAGAGTTAATCGGTTTCTCAACTTGAATACTTGAGAAAATACTACAATTTGTTGGCCACAAAAAATATGGCAAGTCACCAAACAATCCCACATTCTCAGCCCTTTAAAGAAATATTTCTAATTATTTTAGCATCAAAATTGTATAGTTAGATTTATAATCAGAAGTAGGGCTGAATGTCAAGCTCAGCTCGGTTTGTTAGGATAACAGCTAGCTCGGTTCAGCTCGCTTGCCGACTCGAGTTGTCTCATTAAACTCGTGAGAGAAACCAACATTAGTTTAAGTTTATGAATGGTGTATACAGTCTAAGTATCAAACATATAGGCAAATCAATAAGGAAATCATTTTCATACTTACATATAACTAAATAAAATGTAAAAATACCACTGGAGTGTCGAGACAGCTGCCTGCACGCCACTGGTAGGATGATACATGAACTATGGCTGGTGTTTTAGGCTAGGGATGTCCTTTTCGCTTACCCGTTGCTTGCCTTTGGCTTGTGAGTCGAGCTGAGCGAGTTAGCGAGTCATGACCTTTTTTTTTTCCCTCCAGCCCTAATCAGAAATAGTTACCACTATCTTGCATTTAAATTCACAGCGAAAACAAAAGAAAAAGAATATATCACTTCTATTCGGTTTGAAGTTATTTTTAAATCAAAATCTTAAAAAGGTCGAACACCGGCATGTGGGTCCCACCGACCAGCCTCCGAGGAGCCACACGACGAGTCAAAAACACAGGGCCCTTCCCCTTCTCGCCGTCTCTCCTCTTCGCATCGTCTTCCTCCGCCTTCCCCGAATCCCCCGCTCCCCGACACCACACCGCGAGATCCTCCTCTTCCAGATCAAGCACCCACCCTACCTAGGGTTTCCACCCCGCCATGGCCGAGGTCGCCCGCGCCTCGGCTTCCCCACCTCCCGCCTCCGCCTCCACCGGCGGCGACCGCAAGCGTGGCCGCTCCTCCCCGTCGCTCCCGCCGCCGCCGCCCGGGCCCCCTCCGCAGGTCCCGCATGGGAGCAAGAGGCACCGCAGGGACGAGGGGGGCGGGGGCGGGTTCGATCGGCGCCGCCTCGGGCCGGGAGTAGGGTACGACAACCCGGACGATAGGAGGTGAGAGGGTTTGTGATGCTTTGGTGGTGTGGAGTTGGGAGGGTTTGAGTTGAGTTTGATAGCTGGAGAGAAATAGAAGCTTCCGACTCATTTTTTTTTTGTTTGGACTGTTAGTTTATATGGTCGATTGATGTGCGAAAACCGTGGTCGTTAGATTGGTTTAGCCATGAAAAAAAATGTTGAGTGCGCAATGAGCAGTTCGAATGCGTCCCATTTTTTTCATTCGGAAACAGTAGGTTTTGGACTAGGAAATTAATGACTGAAGAGATTTATGTTTGTTGCAGTTTTCCACAATTTAGGATTTTGGCCAGAAGACGTTTTTCATCTGCCACATGGGTAGTCTGTGAATGTCTTGTAGTAGCTCGATGTTTAGCTCCTGGTTGAATCCCAGTAAGACCATAAGAGCCTGAGCTATTGAAGGCACTGGCTGTGCTTATTAGTCAACTGAAAGTGTTAGTAATTTGGGTAGGATACCAAAAAGGATCCTGAATTTGACTCTTATATATGAAGTAAACATATATGGTGAAGTGCTACATCTCATTTTCTTGTGGATTTATGGTACCTCTTCGCCTTTTCGTATGGTATTTATGTGCTATTTTGAGTTGGGAGCTGCTCTATGTGTTATAACATTTAGCAGGAATTAAGGAAATTAATGGTTCTGGTTCCTTGTGATATTTCTTTCTGTGATTATACACTATTTTGAGCATCACTGCAGCTTTTAATTTGTTTGGTTATCTCCTAGGTATGGAAATGATCATGGTGGTGCAGGAGGAAGAGGTGGATATGGGGATGAGAGAGGTCAGGGTAGAAACTTCAATCGTGCACCAGGTACACATTAGTTTATGCAAGATGTCTTGTATCCACTAGTTGTCTGGTTTAAGTCCTACATGAGTTGGAATATTTTAGATTTAGTTCATTTTCCTTGCTTATATAATACTATCGTTCCTGTCTTTATTCGGAGTATAAATTATGTCCTGTCCACTTGAAATATGTAGATAAAATCATAACATACTGTGTACAAAAAATATTTCATGTCTACTTGAGTTACTTGTAGATTGAAGTGTCTGTCAATGACATATATTTTGTGTAGATTGGACTGATTCTGGACGTGGTGGATGGAATGATGGCCCGGCTAACTCTCGTAGGTATGTATGCAATTCTGGATTGCCTTAATCCTGTATTTTGATTTTTTTTCTAATTTTTTCAATCACGAATTGTACCTACTGAGATGAGACATTTATGAGACTGGCACATGCTGCGATGCCTATACTATAAAAATTACAAAACTTCTAGTTGGTGCACTGTCAAATTTATGAGTAACTGAACTAGTCATACATTCAAGTGGTGTTCTTTGAGTATACGCATACATTGGATTCTTGTGTAAGCATCACAATGCAAAATTTTTGCATGTGGAAAGCAAGCAAAATGACTACTGGTACTCTACAGGGAAGGCCTCATGTCTTACAAGCAGTTCATGCAGGAGCTTGAAGATGATGTTTCGCCTGATGAAGCTCAACACAGGTATGCTATGTTTGAGATGATGAATTTTATTCCGTCCTACAGTGTACCTTCAAATATGGTGGCTCACACAATATGTAATTGCCATTGCTGCTGTTTGTGCTAATCATTAGATATGAGGAGTACAAGTCAGAGTACATAACAACTCAGAAGAAAGCGTACTTTGACCTTCATAAGAACGACGACTGGTAATACCTTTTTCTTTTACATCCTTTCCATGAATAATCTAATGACTGATTTTTTTTTCACCAAGTTTTACTCTTTGCACTTCTTGCTTTTGTTGCAGGCTGAAAAACAAGTACCATCCGACTAACCTTGAAATTGTCATGGAAAGGTTAGCTGTTTATTTAGTATTTAGTGAATTTTCAAGATTATGGTGGACTATCTTCTCATATTCATTGTGTCTCCAATGTCCATATCATCTCCACTTTCTTGTACGTTTATATGATAACTACATTATCTTTTGTTTGAAGCAGAAGGAATGAACTTGCACGAACTGCTGCAAATCAATTCCTCCAAGATTTGCAGAATGGGAGTTTAGACATGTGAGATGCTCCTCCCCCCCCTCTCCTTCTCTCTCTCTATCTCCCTCTCTATTTTACTTAATTTTATTGGCCACTCTGTGCAGTGGTCCAGGATTAACAAGTTCTGCAACAAACAAATCTGGGAATAGCGTAGATGATACGGATGCTAATGGAAAAAAGGGGAAACTTGGAAAGAGCCAAGATGATTTATATTATGCTGCTCCTAAGGCTCATCCAGTTAGCTCTGAGCCCCGTCGAATTAGAATTGACGTTGAGCTAGCTCAAGCTCTCATTTGTAAACTTGATTCAGAGAAGGGTATTGAGAATAATGTTCTGTCAGGTAGTGATCATGACAGAGCAGAGAAAGATAAGTCACATGGTTCAATGGGACCAATCGTAATAATACGGGGTTCATCTGCTGTAAAGGGTCTTGAGGGTGCTGAGTTGCTGGACACTCTTGTTACCTATTTGTGGCGTATCCATGGTGTGGATTACTATGGGATGTCTGAGACAAATGAGCCCAAAGGTCTAAGGCATGTGAAAGCAGATTCAAGGACGTTTAATGGGGCTAGCTCAAATGCAGCTGAATGGGAGAAGAAACTTGATTCCTTCTGGCAAGATAGGATTCAAGGCCAGGATCCAATGGAAATATTGAAAGCAAAGGATAAGATTGATGCAGCTGCTAGTGAAGTGCTGGATCCACATGTGAGAAAAATAAGGGATGAAAAGTATGGATGGAAATATGGCTGTGGAGCTAAGGGCTGCACAAAACTTTTCCATGCCCCTGAGTTTGTCCAGAAGCATCTCAAACTCAAACATGCGGATTTGGTTAGGGAACTGACTTCGAAAGTGAGAGAAAATATTTATTTTGATAACTATATGAGGTATGTTTTCTTCATTGTCATTCTTTTGGCTGAACTAATTTTTAACATTCCAAAGAAGATTATGCTGTACATATTGCATGCAGTGATCCCAAGGCACCTGGTGGGATGCCTATCATGCAGCAACCTGCTCCAGTAAGCCTCACTACCTAGTTTTTAGTCAGTTGCAAATTGGTGACTGTTTAAGTTCCTTACTGTCTTGTTTGTATTGGCCAATTTTTCAGAGGGAGAAAGTCAGACAGCGGCCACCAATAGAGAGTCGGCTGAGAGATGAGCGTGGCAATCGTAGGTTTGATAGAAATGATTCACCAACCCATGATGGATCCAGTGACAACCCTGATGATGCATATGATTCTTATGGTGATCCGGTTATGCATGGCGCCTTTCCTCCGGATATTCCTGCTCCTCCAGTGTTGATGCCTGTGCCTGGTGCTGGGTAAGTCTGCAACTTGTGCTTAGTTTTCACAATAATACACTTATTGTTGATTCGTTGTCATTTTCATCTCAGCCCACTAGGACCATTTATTCCTGCACCACCTGAAGTTGCTATGCGTATGATGAGAGATCAGGGTGGACCACCACCTTTTGAGCCAACTGGTGGTCCACGTCCTAGGAGACCAGGGAGGGGTGGTCTTCCAATGGGTGGCCCATCACCAATTCTTGCTGCTCCTTTACCACCCCCTCATATGCATGATCCACGCAAAATACGAAGGTTAGTACTTACATGTTTGTCTCCTTTCCCTTGTGTTCCCTATTCTGTCCTCACCATGCGACATAAGCAATTTATTTCAATATCCTGAAACATCGTTAACAAAATAAGTATGCTGATAGTGAAAAAACTGAACACTGATTATTTCTCTGGAGTTCTGCTGGACATCCTTTGTCGTAATTTACCGTGATATGCAAATATTTCTTTAGAGAAAAGGCTGCAATGACCTGGCTTGTATTGAAAGCCAAAAGGTTGTCTGCTGGGGATTCCAGCTTTACATGTGTATCACAGGAAACCTAAACTGATTACACCCTGATCAAGTAGGTATCGCCCAGAGCCAAGCAAAAACTGAGGTCTTAAACAACCAGACTACAGTACTAGGGATATAACAACTCCCAAAAACAGAATCCCAGACTACTGTAGCGAAGCTGGCACGGCATTTGACCATGATATGCAAATATCTCAAGTTCACTACGAAATTTGGATGATCCGCTTGCAAATTTGAGCTCATTAGCAGAACACGCGATTGATTTGGATTTCATATACCTGGAACAAACATGGCCATGTCACAATTCACAAAGGACCTTACATACAGTTTGAAGCATGGTAAAACATGCTCCTGGTATTGTTTGTAGAGTCTCTTGGCTAGGAAATTTTTAAAAAACTTATTAGGATAGGATGTCAAGTTGGTGTTTCCAATATAGTCTGATTTGTGCTTGCTAAAGCATTTGCAAGATGTACAATACGTTATCATGGAGATTGTTTGTCAGATTTAAGGTATTGCTGTTCCCTGCTGCATGTAGGTTTGCGAACTTTATGTTCTAACCAAAATTTGTCCCCTATACATGTCTACCAAGTTGTATTTGAAGTTAGCACTGGCACATCATATCTGAACTTCAGAATACTCATTTGCTGTTTATTTTAGATACTTATTTTTTGCTACAATTTTTCACATGTGTTAACCTTGCTTCCAGCTATCAAGACCTTGATGCTCCTGAAGATGAAGTGACTGTTATGGACTACCGAAGCTTGTAGAGGAATTGGAGACACGATCCTTTTTTGTATCTGGGAAACTGTAGGTAATATTACAGACCGCAACAAGACGGCATTCATTTCTAGATTTTTTTGTGAACGCAAACAGGTAGGACTTTGAGGTTCGGAGCTCTGTTACTGTCTGTAAAATGGATCACAGGAAAACCTGGGACAAGGAGCATATTCTCATTCACCAATCACCACTCACCTGAAAAGAAAACATTGTGAAGTTTGTTCTTTGCAAAAAAGTTCCTAGCACTGTCCATTCCAACCAAATGTCTACAAGCCTGCCATATCATCAGGTATTCGTACCGTATTTGTATATTCAGCTACTGGGTGTGAGTAGATTGGAACCTGATACATCGGCGTATGCACAGACTTTCTATGAAGCCCGTTATGAAGAACATTTGTTCCCCATCTGCTAAGTTTGAGTTCAACCTTGTCAGCTTGAAGAGTGTCCCAGTTCACCAGTCAGTATTGTATCAGTTCTTGCCATTTGATCAAGCTTAGTGTTGTCCCATTCCTTACCATTGATGAAGCTTCTGTCAAAATGGGAATATATACACCTCGGATGACTGAAGAATGACTAAAGTCACCTGCATATATTAGCAGAATAAAAGAAAAAACTATTGGCCAGGAAGATTGTTTTTTAAAAAATCACTGTTCGTTTGTTGATGTCGCAGCTAACCTTAGTTACACATGCTCTCCCTGATACGGTCTAATCTCATCGTGCTTACGTGGTTCACATCTAACCGTCCATCCCATCTATCCAACGGCTAGGGACGAAACCTTTCGGCGGAGGCTAAGTTCGTTTGTCCCAACTTAGACCTTAGTTTTTCGTATGCACGTTTTTTTAATTGTTAAATGGTATATTTTTTTTAAAAAAATCTAGCTTTAAAAATAATATTAATTTATTTTTTAAAAAATAAACTAGTACTTAATTAATCATTCTCAAATGAATCGTTTTGTTTTGCGTGCTGAAGGTTTTGTTCCAGCCTGGTCCGGTAGGCAACGGCCCACTCACGTTCGCGGCACTGGCCTATCTCCCCCCGACGGGCCGAGTTGGGCCCACGTGTCAGCGACAGGCTACAAGTTCCCCACCGCTCGCGAGCCCACGTCGAGACGCCGCAAACACGAAACCGACGCCGACGCCGACGCGAGGCGCAGCCGCCGGTGGAAACTTGGAGAAGAAGCTTTACGCGCGGCGGCGAGGCGAGGTGAGGAGACTGATCGATGATCCCCCCCCTCCCCCCCCCAAAAAAAAAAAAAACCTGGGCCCCGCCGCAGGATGCACGCGTTCTCATGCGCTGGCAGCGCTGCTGCGTGTGCAGGGGCAGCCGGCGAAGGTGACACTCACCCACCCACACTGGGGGAGGATTTGATCGGGCATGGCGCAAGGGAGGTTGTTGACGCTGCTTCCGCCGCCGCCGCCGGAGAGCCGCTCCACTGGACGGGATCGCTCGGAGGAGTCGGATGTGGAGGGGATGCTCGACGATCCGTTCGATGTAGTACCCCAGAAGAAGAAGAAGGAGGCTTCGTCTGTCGATCGCTTGCGGCGGTGGAGGGTACGGGATCCTCTTTTGCTAATTGCCCTCTCCTCCCTCTCTCTTCTCTTCTCCTATGATGATTTCCATGACGGCTTGCGGAATTGCGATTTTGCTAATGCTCCCTCGAAGAGTGTATAACTCTCTTGGTTCATATTATAAGTCGTGTGACCTTTTTCTAATCAAAATTTGTTAAGTTTGATCAAATTTATAAAAAAAAAGATTAACAACATCTAAAATACCAAACTAGTTTGATTAAGTTTAACATTGAATATAATTTCATAATATATTTGTTTTGTGTTAAAAATAATTCTACCTCCGTGTCAGGTTATAAGACTTTCTAACATTGTCCACATTCATATAGATGTTAATGAATCTAGGCACTCATATATATCTAGATTAATTAACATATATATATATAAATATGTGCAATGTTAGAAAGTCTTATAATATAAAACGGAGGAAGTACTATATTTTTCTATAAACTTGGTCGAACTTAAAAAATTTGATTAGAAAAAAAAATTAAATGACTTATACTACGAAACAGGTGGAGTATTTTACTTATGTGCTGAAGTTAACATGGTACCATTATGACCTCAGCGTGAGGGTACACGATACCTACATGTATTGGTCATGATGACGTCAGCAACATAAACCCGTGTGTTTATGTTGCTCGAAATATGCTTTGTTATTGGTCTGGATCACCATGAATTGGTGTCTATATGGAGAGTGGGGAATTTATACACGTGCCGGCTCGATCTTGCAGGGAAATTACCACACGACACTATAATGTGGTGAAATGCACAATCGTCAAGCAAATAGAGGTTTATTGTGCACCCATGGAACCATTGATGAAATAATGGTGGCTTCGTAGCTCCAATTTTGCAGCAGTTCATGTCTAGGGGAAAAAAAGATACAAACAAAGCGAGCATTAATAATGATACTTCCGCTAGTGGATTCCCACTATAGTTCTTAGTTTGTATTTTGGGGCCATGAAAACTTCTTGGGTGAAGAAGGCTTTGGGAGTTTGGGGTAGGGGAGTTTACAATGGACAGAGGAGAAATCCGTTCGCCTATTATGTTCTTGAGTTCTAACAAATACAATCTCTCTCAATTTCAGCAAGCTGCTCTCATGCTCAATACTTCACGTCATGTTATATGTAATCTTGACCTTAAAAAGGAGGAGGAGAAAATGCGCGAGATTTGCCGAAGAGCATCCACAAGTGATACGGGTAATTTGTCATCATTTCAGGCAGTGATACGGGTAATTTGTCATCATTTCAGCTGATATATCCTATCTGTTGGTTTGGTTGTATTCTAAATTTGGGTTCTCCAGGCAGCATTTCGTATCAAACAAGTTGAGTGAAAAGATCTCAGAGGTACAATCGCATATCATAACCTCTGTTTCACGCACGTGCAGCTAGATGTTCTGACCTGCTAGGGTTCGGACAAAGCCATTTTCTTGTCTATTCATTGCTTGAGTCGTAATGGAGGTACATTAGTCCATTTTATTGGGATTACTTGGGATTCTACAATACCAGTGTTCATGTGAATAGTGGCTTGATTCTCGAGAATTGAATCAGTAACTTCCTAGCAAACCATATATATCCTCTATTTTCCTAACTATACTGTTTCTTCCTAACTACTCCAGATTGATGGAATAAGCCTTGTGGTCTTTGGTCCTTGTGGTCCTTCTCTTGCTTTTAAGTTGTTTTTCCCCCTTTTAGGACAACATCCTTTCAGTTTTGCTTTTAGCATCTTTCGGTTTTGCTTTTAGCATCCCTAGGACAGCATCTAGCATCTCCTTTATGCTTTATTCAGTTTGGATGCTCTCTAGGACAGCATTGCGTTCAAATTTTAGACTAGTGTGGGCAGCAATTAGCTAGCAGCCATCCAGCCAGCTATGGCTATATATATGTATCCAACCTCCCTCGGGAAGGTATGGCTTTTGTGTTTTGTGAATGAAGAAAACCAGAAAATTGCCCCATCTCGAGTGCCATCCTCTTCTCAATGAGAGTAACCATTGAAATTCTAACATCTGGTATCAGAGCCGACTCTAGTGGGCCCGGCCTGGGGGAGGCGGGACGTTACAAAATGGTATCAGAGCCACACTTTCCTGTAGGCTAAACATCTCTTGTTCCACCCCTTCCCAAGCTCGGTTGAGCTCTCAGCCAGCAGCAGCAGCAGCACCGGTTGCTCCTCCTTCCCCTTTCCCTTCCCCTTCTCCACGCAGCAGCCCCCCGGAGGTGAGCCATGTCCGACGCTCGGTCTCGGCGTTTGGTCGCCTCGAGCACTCGGCGTCAGCAGGACGCCGAGCTCGCCGCAGCAGAAGAGCGCAGGCAAGCAACGGCTCAGACCGCTGCAGCAGCAGCGAGGGTGGCCAGACTGGCGGCAGCGGAGTTGGCAGCAGCCAGGGCGGAGGCGGAGGCGGAGGCGGCGGAAGATGCGGCACGTGCGGCGGAGGTAGAGGTTGAGACCTTGCGCAGCAGCATCAACGGCTCCATTGCCGGTGACATCACCGCCGACAGGGAGCTTGAGGAGCTGGCAAGAGAAAGGGCACGGGAGCGAGCAGAGCGGTGGGCAGCAGCCCACCTCCACGGCGGCGGCGGCGGCCCAAGGGACCGCGCGCCCGCCGACGGGAACCCAGACGGGCGCAGGCGTGCCGGCGGCAGCCCGGAGCTCTCACGCGGCCCTCGCAGGCAGCACGGCTCTCTCTCCCCTGACCGGCGCCATGGTCACCACGGTGTCCAGACGGTGGTTAGGGACTTTGGTCCCGGCGGTGGGTGGCCTACCCTCACCAAAACCAACTACATCGAGTGGGCCGCGGTGATGAGGGTGAGGCTCCAGGTGCGGCACATGTGGGAGGCAGTCCGGTACGGTGACGTCGACTACGACGAGGATCGGCGGGCACTGGATGCCCTCATCGCTGCAGTCCCGCCCGAGATGCAGTTCTCGCTTTCCCAGAAGCGGACTGCCAAGGAGGCCTGGGACGCCATCGCTGCGGCACGCATCGGCAGCGACCGCGCCCGCAAGTCCACACTGCAGGCACTCCGCAAGGAGTGGGAGAACCTGGCCTTCAAGCCAGGTGAGAATGTTGATGACTTTGCTCTCCGTCTCAACACTCTCTTGCAGAAAATGGTGCAGTACGGCGACGACACCTACGACGAGGAGAGAGCTGTCGAGAAGCTCTTCCGCTGCGTCCCTGAGAAGTACAGACAGATCGCTCGCTCGATCGAATCTCTGCTGGACCTCTCCACGATGTCGATCGAGGAGGCGTTAGGTCGCCTCAAGGTCGTCGATGGTGATGAGCCACAGCCTCTCTCGGGGCCCATCACCATCGGCGGGAAGCTCCATCTCACTAGGGAGCAGTGGGAGGCCTCTCAGGGTGACGGGAGGAAGGGGGAGTCATCTTCCCCGACAGGCGGCCGTAAGCCGCGCAAGGCGCGGGGAGGTGTCCAGCTACGGTGGGCGCGAAGACGTGCCGAGGGTGGCGCCCGCAGAGGCGCCCAGGGCGTTGCCACCGGCAACCACAAGCCGGCACGAGACGACGCCTGCCACAACTGTGGCAAGCTTGGCCATTGGGCCAAAGACTATCGACAGCCACGACGCGGCCAGGCCCACGTCGCACGGGTGGAGGAGAAAGAGCCGGCTCTGCTCCTGGCTCACGCAAGCATCGAGCTACCTCAAGCGGCACCGGCCGCAGCGGCTTTCCTCCACCTTGATGAGCCGAAGGTACTCGTCTCCCTCTGCAACGGCTCCAGCAACGACAAGGCTGATGGGTGGTACCTTGACACCGGCGCCACCCATCACATGACCGGCCGACGGGAGTTCTTCACCGAGTTCGACTCCAGCGTCCGAGGCTCCGTCAAGTTCGGGGACGCCTCCGGCGTGGAGATCAAGGGTGTTGGCTCCGTCACCTTCACCGCCAAGTCCGGTGAGCACAGGCTGCTCACCGGAGTCTACTACATCCCCGCGTTGAGGAATTCTATCATCAGCGTGGGACAGCTGGATGAGAACGGCTCACGCGTGTTGGTCGAGGACGGACTCATGAGGATTTGGGATCGCCGTCGTCGCCTTCTTGCCAAGATAACCAGAGGCACTAATCGACTCTACA